TTACCACCAAACGATTAAAAAACAAGAGATCCTCCGATTAAAATAAGTTCAATGGAACGTATAGTAAGAGAAAAGAAAGAGAAACGTAAAGCAACATTTGAATCGGAAATAAAAACAATGCTCAGCGAACTGACTAGTTTGTCAATTATAGCTAACTGGCAGCAGGCGTAGCTGTGTAGCTATCATTAACGGGGACTGAAATCTGCGTAACTTAAAACTGAATGGCAGCAAAAACCGAATGGCAACTGAATCTATACAAATTACAAATTACAAATTACAAACAAATTGTGCAGTAAAATTAGATTAAAACACGTGAGTATGAAAATAAAACAGCCGAGCTTCAAATTCTTCAAGAAATAAATCATCGACTGGACTCAGCTGGGATATAAATACGACGAGGATTAATTACCTTTTTCTCAAAGACACCTGTAAACCACTCCTGGGCTCCGTTACCATGGTACCATAGCGCATATGGCTGATTAATAATCCTTCCCTGTCAACGTGGCCTAGATAAACTCTTAATTAAACCAGTGCAGGGCAACTACTGCCCCCCCCCCCCCCCCCCCCCCCAACTACTACAGATCATTATTAGTCACCACGTACTGTTACTCCGTTAATCATTAAAACAGAGTCCTGGGTCGAGAATATCATTACCTGCTCTTAACAGATATTAATTACAATAAATATCAGGCTCATAAGTTTCAGCAAGTGCACGCTCCTAAATTACTCTGACACTCAAGTTTATTGTAACATACAATCAGTGATAATACGTCATGATAATAGTGGGAAAATAATTAATTTATATAGTGTTAAATTTTGTAGAGTGTTATCGACAGATTAATCCTCAATGAATACTGCACGTGCATAGAGAACTTCCAGATTCAGTTAAACATGAACTGATCTACTTAAATATTTTACTGAAACCATGTTAACTGAAAAATCTATAAATTTGGGTTGCTACTTACTTGAACGCTTACAAAAAAGCTCAATAGCAACTATTGTAAGCCGTGATCGGACAGGGGATATGGTCTGTAGTACGAGATTGTCCATTAAATTATTATACCAGTACTGTATAGTAAGGTTCTAAGAAAGATCAGATTTTGTAAAGTTGTGTAAGCCGTGATCAATTGAGATGAATTTTAGGTAATATTGTGTAATATGAAGGTAGTATAGTGATTATAATAAGGTGTTGTCCAGTATTTTACCGTAACTTATTTTGGGGCATATATTAGTATACGACATTTAATGCAGTGAGAGGGCAGAGAGGTCAGTTTAACATATGTTTGGGTTAATACGAGGTTGGTTTGTGGAGTGTTTAGAGATTACTAGAGTTACTATCTGATGTTGTGGCTATCGCTCGAGGATAGTGGGAGATTGTTTAAACTATCTGGGGGCAAGTAAAGAGGGATAGGTCAGTATTTTACCGTAGTATTTTGGGGCATATATTAGTATACGACATTTAATGCAGTGAGAGGGCAGAGAGGTCAGTTTAACATAATATGTTTGAGTTAATACGAGGTTGGTTTGTGGAGTGTTTAGAGAATACTAGAGTTACTATGTTGTAATTTGATGCCGGACAGGTTCGGGAGCCAGAACCTGTTAAGGTAAGGTCTTGGAGTTAGCTGGGTAGTAGGTTAGTGGCGGTAGTGTATTGGAGCATTACGGAGTGCATGTTATCAGGATAGAGGCATTTGTAGTCTGGCTTTAGCGTAGAGAGAGTCAACAAGGGTTTATTCAGGAGAGCAGATATACCTTACTCGGGATTATTACGACGGGTTTATTAACGACTGGTTAAAATATGGTTCGGGAAAAATATGGCGAAATTGCTCAAAACCCACCACATTTTCCCGGTCGCCATTTTACCGGTGTCCAACCTTTCAATTTTAGATTCAAAAATTTTGTCTCAGATGTAAATTTCCTTATTAGAGATAAGCAAGTTTAGAAATTTTCGCATTGCTAAAACTTGTGAAACAAGTCGAATGGTAGTCTGCTGGTAGTCTGCTGGTAGTAACGTGTTGGTAGTCTAGCACTCTAGCAAATTAGTTGTTTTGAATTAGGGGCAATTCCACCGTGACGGACACCACGATTTTGCTGTTTTTTAAAGTTCAAACGAATGTTGTACTCGAGATGTTCTTTATTTATCAGCTCCAACTGTTTATTAGTCCACATTTAACCTTTCTACAGGTTGTGTGAAAATTTCAGACCCCTACCATTATTACTTTCTGAGATAGCACCCCTGTGACGGACGTGACGTAAATATGACACTTTTTTTGGGTGTCTACTCAGATGGTACCCAAATTTATCTCAAAAAGTTATCTATTGTATCTAATTTGGAATTACAATGATAGAAGAAGGTTCAGGGATTTCTGAGATGCCATTTTCTTAGAGATTGCTCAATTTTTGTTTGCGTGGCGCCATTTTCAAATTGTGACAGACGTGACTGTGACGGACACACGTTTTTTTCCAATTTTTCCAAATCTTCCACTTGACACTTTTATCTTGTTCAGTGACATCTACTCTGTATTCATGCCAATTTATAGGCCTCAAATACCCCCAAGAGGTCTGCAACAGCCAAAATCGTCCATTTTGGGCATACGCTAGGGTATCAGTCTAGGGGCATCAATTATTTCTCTACTTGAACAAATTTATAACTCTGGTAAAACATTCATCACTGTTCAACGCATCATACTGTTGAGACCATCTCCTAAAAGTTTCATTACTTTAGTGTTTAAAATGTGGAAGATATTGAATTTTTACTTCAAAAATATGCGAAAATAGGGTTAAGTCCATTTTTTGTGCCTTTTACCTCTGAAAAAGTTGTAAGCAAATAAAATGGCAAAAAATCAGTAAATTAAATTATTGAATTGCATATGATGTTATTTGATAGTCTAGTCAACATAGTCAACACAATCCAACCTTATTTGACTTCTATTTGTCTTGGTTTTAGTCAAAATAATGGAAATATGGATAAAAATGGCTAAAAGTGAGCCGTATGCCCATATATGGGCATATACAAAATTATACATAACTCGGTCATTTTCTGTCCAATTTTTGATTTGACGACATAGTTTTGTTGAGGACGGCCTCAGCTTTAAGAAAAATGCCTTTAAAGTCTGTTTAAAGATTTTTTGGAGCATTTTCAAAAAAATGTGACGGACGCGACAAGTTGGGACCCCCCTTACAAATTTTTTTTCTTAAAAGATACAAGCCTGATAATTTCTACGGTACTCCCTTACCTTCAGAAGAGATAGGTTACAGTGGTTTTTTGAATATAAATAGCACTATGTGGCTCTGAAAAAACTTTTTTGCTTAATTTTGTGACGGACGTGACACCATCTTTGTGGAAATTTTTTAGAAAAAGTATTTGAGTAACGGTTTTGAAACTTTGCATAGCTCTCATTCTTATGCATATGCCTAAGTGTATGGAATTTCATAGAGAAATATTGCTGCATACCCAAACTATTGCCCTTTGAAAATTTGAACGATTTTTTTCATTCCCGAGTAGTGTTCCTTTGAATGAGAAAAATCAAAAGTTAACGCAATATGAAACAAAAAACTTTTGTTGACTTGTAAGGTTAAGAGTCTAATGAACATATTTTAACCAAAAGTAGGTGCCTATCTTAACATTTTTCATTTTCACCAAGTGGAACCTTACCGTGGAATTGCCCTTAGCATTAAATGTTTACGTGTATCAAATAACCATTATGACTCAAAAAAGAATGCATCGTTCACATTTTTTAGAATTATGAATAAATGACTGATGAAACTGATTCATGTTATTGACAGTTTTAATTAATTCAAGTTTTAATTTAACTGTTACTTTTACTTTGAGTCCTATTTCATTATGTAGAGATAGTCAATACCTAAGAAATTAAAAATTGGCCTATTTAAATCAACTTTGACAATAAGGATATATGACAAGAATTGGGCAAAAAGGTGAATTTTTTGCAATTTTAGCCAAATGAAGTCGAAAAACCTACAACAAGTGTCCCAATAGTCTTCTTTAGTGAATATAAGACAACGATTAAAATATGAGCACCCATACCCCTTGGGAACCCTAAAAGCTGAGTAGGCGGGTTTATTAACGACCGGTGAAAATGTGGTTCGGGAAAAATATGGCGAAATTACCCTAAACCCACCACTTTATCCCGGTCATAATAATCCCGAGTAAGGTAGGCAGGGATTGGCTGGGTTGACTTCAATAGGTAAGGGTAGAATAAAGGGCGGGTATTGTGTTGTGCAATAGTTGAGGCAATATGAGTCGGAGTAATTAGGAGTTTTGTTGTGCAATTATTCGATTATTCGTTGTTCAGTTTCGTACCTTTTTTACCATTATTATCCATCTCGTTTCCATTGTCCAAGCCCTTAATTATTATAATTAAGTACTGATAAACTTCGAACCGGGAAGCAAGTGTCTACTGCTTACACTATCATGGAAGGAAAAACGTTAGACTCTGACACTCACCCGTTCTGAGCACTGGAAGCTGCTTTCATTGTTTGCTTTCTTGGGCAGACACCGACTGACTCAACACGACTACTAGGAATACTATTAATCTGAATGTTGATTATTTATTATTCCATTATTTGGGACAAATGAGAGTCTCCACTCAGTGCAATAAGCAAATAATCGAATATGATCGAACCACTCACAAGAGCGAAAAAAGATACCTATTAATATTAATTAACCCATCTAATCTCTCTCCCTCAGGACCTACAATCTAATCACACTCCCTCAGGACCTACAATCTAATCCCTCTCCCTCATGACCTACAATCTAATCTCTCTCCCTCATGACCTACAATCTAATCTCTCTCCCTCAGGACCTACAATCTAATCTCTATCTCCCTCAGGACCTACAATCTAATCTCTCTCTCCCTCAGGACCTACAATCTAATCTCTCTCTCCCTCAGGACCTACAATCTAATCTCTCTCTCCCTCAGGACCTACAATCTAATCTCTCTCTCCCTCAGGACCTACAATCTAATCTCTCTCTCCCTCAGGACCTACAATCTCACAAGTCCGGTAAGAAGCACGCTGCACGTGTCATAGACCTGGAACATACGCCGCACATTCCTCCGCAGCAGTTTTGTCACGTGTGTAACATGTGGTTCCCTAATGCAGACCATTTGGAGCAGCATAAGAATCTGGTTCTCCACAAAAAGGTACGGAATGTAGGAATGCACATTTTTCTGTTTCTGGTATGTGTTTTGTGATATTTTGTAAAAGATACGGTATCTTAGTCTTGTACTTCAGTGTACACTGTACATTCTGGAGTATACATTCTGTACTGGAAGTAGAATCGTGATCTCACGAACAAGTTTCAGACCAGTTATTGTATTTGCCTTTGTTACTCTCAGTTCTGTGTTGTTTACCGTCATGCGCTAGTTACTTTCGTCTTGAACATTACTGATAATTGGAAAAAAAATAAACTCATACTTTGATGGTACTTTGTCAAACTCAATTAAACAAAAATTCACAATTAAAATGTGCATCACCAATAAACTGGTAAGTAAAACCTTCTACTCACATCACAAAACTCACATTTAATTTTTAAATGTCGATTCTCCACTACTAACACGTGACTAACACGTGACTCTCCACTACTAACACGTGACTAACACGTGGTTCTCCACTACTATCACGTGACTAACACGTGACTCTCCACTACTAACACGTGACTAACACGTGACTCTCCACTACTATCACGTGACTAACACGTGGTTCCCCAGACGTTGGGAGTGTTTATAAAGTTCGGGATACCAATACCGGGCATTGCATACCCTGTAAACCCTAAACGTAACATGACGATAGTGATCGACGATACACCTACTCCCGCTAAACCTAAAGCTAATGTACAGTTCGCAATTCCTAAAGCCCTTCCTAAGAAAAAGTCTGGTCAGGCTTCTCGAGCTATTGTTATTCCTGACGAGGTATTTGTAAGCCAATTAGCAATTAATTACTTAATTACCAGTGCTTTTGCAATTTGCATCGTCCTATTCTTATTCCAGTGTTTTTTCGAATGAAATACTACAAATTTAAAGTTTTTCAAGATTGGTAGTCAGTCCACACCCTGGCTCCATAATATGAAGGACTTGTTTTGATTCTAAATAAACAGCTCGAATGACGAATACCCATGTTTTCCCCTCAGGCAGCAGCTCAAGATAAGGAAGGAGCCGCGTTATCTAACTTACAGCAATACTCCTCCCCCTCCTCTGAGAGCGACACAACTCCCGAACAATCCGCACCAGGTAACTTGAATATGTGGAACTTGTATAGTGTCTAGTCTGTACTTTGTGGAGTGTTTATTCTGTTATGCAGAAATCGTGCACATTTGATTTAGTGTGTGAATTTTTCTACTCTTATAGTTCCCATCTAATTGATTTATCATCATGACCTCGCCATTAATTTAATTAAAAATTACTTTTTTAACATTCACATTTTCTAGAACCGCCTCCTCCTGGAACTTCGGAAGAGAAGAAAATACTCTCACTATCAGGTACTTGTTATACTCACCCGGCACTCAATAATTCATTCTTGTGCCCAATCACTCAGCTTCTAATGAATTTTTGGTGATGAATATCTTTCATCGAACGAAACTTAAAATATAGCTTTAACCAGCTTAAAAAGTATGTTTGAGCTTTATTATATGTAAGTTTTTAGAAAAAGCACGTGATGGATACTAATCACGTTATTCTTCAGAGCCTAGTCGGTAATTGTCTAACTGTCTAACTTAAATGATTTGTAAAACAATTGAATTGTACAGTTTTACTGAGTTTTATTGTTGATTTAACTGCGTGTTTGGTTTATTGGATAATAGTATGATAATGTTAGCATATCAAAAGGATCGGGTTATTGTAAAGTTTGCTGAATTTTAATTTGTGATACGTTTTCAAAGCCGATTAAATTGATCTTGAAGTTGACTTTATTATGGTTATAAGTCTCGGACTCTAGTATAATGTGTTTTATATGGTGGATACCCAAAGAATGAAGGATTACGAGATTGGTGGCTGTGAAAAATATTCCTTTGCGCACAACAACCGTACGCCTTTCAAAGGATTAAGAAAAGACATGAGTCTCTGCCGTTTTTCAAAAGTGAGCTTCATTTTAGAAGAAAAGAAAACATTTTGAGCCGTCTTAAAGACAATATGTTATAAGACTCAAAGTTTTGTTATCAGACTCAGTTCATGGTTCAAGAGCATACTTCTGGCGTGACAATTAATGAATTCTGATTAAGATTATTTAATCTAAAAGTCAGGGTTCAGATAACGGAACAGAAATTGTAAACAGGTCTGAATTGTTTTTTACCTCGATTAAGATGATCTGATCATCTTTTATTAGCCAAATATGAAATTATTTTTAACTAGATGTTACAACTTTCAGGATATTATCTTGATACAATATTGTTATGATATTGATTTTTGTTTGCGTTTTATTTAAGTGTCCCATTTTCAACACAGTCTCTAATATCAAATTATATGCCAAAACCCTAAATTATCAAACATTCGAACGTCAGACAATAGCCAAAGTAATATACACAGATGATAATGCAATAAAAATGTTTACTAACTAAAGTAATTGTATTACCCGTAGTTTTTCACAGGGTCAAATAGAAGATCAAGTTCACAAGAACGACGGGAGAGAAGAAAGCGGAGGTTCCGTAGCGCGCGTTCCTCCTCAGGATCCTCCTCTGACAGTGCTGGTCCGTCAAGTACCTCTCGTCGTAGGAAGCATTCTTCATCATCACGCAAACGTTCCAAATCACCAAGGCGTAGACGACGCTCACGATCTCCACATCGTCGAAAAGGACGGTCCCTTGAGAATGATAAAGCCAAGAGTTCCAGAGAAGAAAGAGCATCTTCAAGCAAAGCAGTTGATAGGAAGGCAGATGAGAGAAGTGCTAATGCCGAAGGAGTTCGCTATGGATATTTCTTAAAGTCTGAAAAGTTTTCCATAAAGCCTGACAAGAAATTAGTTGTTTATGAACCGATACAAGACCGAAAAGCCGATAATCCACCATCAAAAGATAACACAAAGGCAGAAGAAGAAGAGGATGAAGATATGGATAAGAAAGAATTGAAAACGATTAAAGGCGTAATACACATTATAAGTGATGATGAAACAGCCACAAAAGAAAAGCCCGAAGATTTAGTAAAGCCTTCAGACCCTGAAAAGAAGTTGGAAAATGAGGATTTCATCCCAGTTCCTCAGTGTGATGAAACCTTTGATTTTGAAGAAGTCAACATTGTTGATTTTGAGTTTGATGACGAGGTTATCGAAGAACCTGTCAATGATGAAACCGAAATGAATGTCCTGCCTTCGAAAAATGACAATACTAAAGAATTGGCTCCAATCAACTCCAGTCCTGTAGTTGATGAGACCTTGAGTGTGTCTGAGGCCATTTCTGAAACTATACCTGATAATAAACAGGAATGTGTACAAGAAGACATGTACGAATGTCTGACTCCTACGGAATACATAGTTCAATCTCCTATCTCCATTCCGTTAAAAAGTAAAGATGTCCCATCCTCTTCAAAAGAGGGTGATAACGATAAATTGACAGAATCAGGAACAGATATCAAATCAAGCACTACTCCCATAGTTGAGCCAGCCAACAATTTCGTAGATCAAGTTGTTCCTGAGGTTGCTGATGTTGTTCATGAAGATATTGGTTTCAAAGATATCGAAATTGAATCTCCTGAAATGCAGACAGCGGAGACATCGGAAAACAGTCCACCTGAAACCATTAGTGAGGTCACTAATGGGACAATAGCTGCTATTGAAACTGTTGAGACGCCTCAAATTGAGCCAAAAGTGGAAAGTTCTGACCTATCCTTAGAGGAACCTTCTGATAGTGTCGTAGGTAACACCGAAATCCGTGAAGAAATAGTCATTAAAACTGATGATTCAAGTAAGACCAAAGACGAAGCTGCAAAAAGTGATGAACCTAAAGACGCAAATTCCACAGATCCTAATGAGAAACCAAAAGTAGAAAAAGAATTGACTGAGATGGAAGTAGAATCGACAATCGACATCCCGAAAACACGTGAACCTGTTCCAGCTAGCATTGTAGCTGAAGAATGTAGTCTTGCTGCAACAAAAGGGAGAAGAAGCAGTGCCAGGAATAAAACACCTGTTTTATGCTTAGTAAGACAAAGTGTTAGAACTAGGAGAGCTCTAGCTGGTTCCATTCCAAAAATCGATTTGACAATGGAAGATTCTAGCCCAAGTAATGAATCAGAAAACTTATCCGAACCGATTGTTCAAGACAGTGGCCGTGAAAAACAGTCTATCCCAGTCAGCCCATCCAGTGATGAAGTAAAGATTGTTTCTGAGCCCTGTGAAAGTGAAACTGCACAAATTGAGCCACCGAAAACTCGTGGGAGAAGAGGAAGAAGAGGTAGAGGCCGAGGAAGAGGTAGAGGTAGAGGAAGATGCGGAAATGTAAGTTCCCCTGTAGAATCAGCTTCAGATAACCTAATTGTACCTCAGCCAGCTGCTACTGATGTGGCCAGCGAACTTTCTATAATCAAAACAGATACTTCTCAATTTGCTGAAAGTAAACCATCTCCTACTGTAATTGAAACTACTAAGAGCATTCAAGTGGAGTCAGGAAATTCAGAGAAAGAGGTAACCGAACCAGTTTCCGTCAAAACAATTGGCCTTGTCCCGTCGAAAAATCTTGTTTTAGAGGCACAAGCTGAGTCGGTGCAGCATAAATTGGCCGAGGAGAAAAATACAGAAAGTACACAAGCCATCGGCAATGAAGATCACTCTAAGATATCAGTCTTGGAGTCTGAGTCTAGCAAAGATTTAGAGATTGTTAGTACAATTTTGGAACCCCTTGAAACAACCACTGAAGAAATTAATGTTCATTCAACTGAAATAAATGAAGATGATGGTTTGGAGATAGATTTTTCTGTGAGCGACACTGAGAGAATGGTGATTGATTCAGATGTTGACAGCGAACCTGACAACAAGCCATCAATTTATGAAACTTTGTCAGATGAAGACGAGGGTTTAGAATTACATGATATTTACGAGGATCTATCTGACAGTAATATGGATGTACCCATCGTTAACCCAGCGAAAAAAGAAGAAAGCAATGCACCATCAGAATCTCAACCATCTGTATCAGAAGAGGCTCCGAGGCCTCAACGAGTAAGTTTGACCATTGCACCTCGGGCAAATGTAAAGAGACCGGCTGTGATTGTGGATAGTGACCTAGACAGTGTTGGAAGCAAAGTAGTCGTTCAGGGTTCCGTAAGACCCTTCACAGATCGCTCACCAGCAAATGATCCAATAAAACAACATACAGAAATACCTGCTATTGCTGAGCCATCAGTAGCTGATCAAAATGAACGAAAATCAAAATCAGACAGTAACAAACTTGATCAGTCTAGTATAGAGGAAACATTGATGGCTAGGCCGAAATTTGTGACATGGCCACCCACCTCAGCGGATGTGACAGTATCTCCACCCAAACCTTCCCAACCATCTCCTTCAAATATTTCAGCTCCACAACCTTCCAAGCCTACAAGTACAGTTCCCACGGCCAGTCTGCCTATTGAGCTCTCCAAATCACAGGTCATTGTCGCTGATTCAGACAAAGCTTCTACAGCTTCCAGCACTGAGAGAACCAAAGGACCAACTTCAAAACCGGCAACTAAAAAGCATGCCACTGTCGTTCAAACAAAACCCCTCTCCGTTTCCTCTAACGCTGCCACAACTTCATCAAGTTCTGTTCCTAAATCTGCTCCAAAAACCACTGTCACGACTATTTTGAAGAAGAAATTACCTGGCACAAAAGTTGTTCTCTTGAAGAGCCCCTCAAATTCAAGTAAAACTACCGTCAAGGAAAGTGCTAGTGGTCCTAGTAAAGCTAGCACTTCTCCCTCGGGCAAATCTCCCGCCAGAACCAAGGTGGCCAGCTCAGAAATGACATCCTCCACATCCAAAAGTCCTGTTGTAGCAGAGGAAGCTCCACACAAGAAAACAACAAAAGTGTTTAAAAGAAAGCCCATCACCGCCCCAGTGGTTACAACTCCGAAATTCCCTAAAATCATCCGGGGATCTGCACCCAGAGGAGCACATCGTGGTCGTGGTTTTGGTGCTGTGCCCAGCACTGACAGCCCCACAAGTACCCAACATGTGTTACTCCTTACCCGAGGTGGGAGAGGAAACAGAGGCACCAGAGGTATTGAAAGAGGCACTAGAGGTATTGAAAGAGGCACCAGAGGTATTGAAAGAGGCACCAGAGGTATTGGAAGAGGCACCAGAGGTATTGAAAGAGGCACTAGAGGTATTGGAAGAGGCACCAGAGGTATTGAAAGAGGCACCAGAGGCACCGTGAGAGGAGGTGGAGGTCGGGGGAGAGTGTTCGACAGGATGGGACCCCCACCACTCGCTCCTGTAAACACGATGCCGAGAACAGTTGTGGCTCCATCCAATCCTGTAACTTCCCGAACTGTGTCTGTTCACCCTGAACAGGCTATTCATCATGAACGCCCCATTCAATCAGGACGTATTATACAGCCTCATCATGCTCGCACTGTTCACCCTGATCGTCTTATTCATCAAGAACGCAAGGTCCACTCAACAAGACAAGATCGCATCGTCCACTCTACGAATGAGGGCGGTTTTTCTGATCGTAAAGTGAGACAACCTCTGTTGAATAACCCCCAGAAGATGACCGTCACACTCGGCAGCCAGCAGAGGCAATCAGACACACTCGGCAGCCAACAACGGCAGTCTGGCAGCCAGCATAGGCCATCTGGCAGACTTCCTTATATTCATGGTTAGCAATCTTTCTGATCGTTTGCTATACTTTGTTAAATTAAACTAATTTTATTCTGGATGTTCCAATGCAAGAAAATTACAATTTGCTCTTAACTTAAATATATTAATAAGTCCACAAATTCCTCAATAGCTGTAACCCAGGTCTAGAGATAAGAGATGGCCGGTATTACTGTGCAGTCTGCTACAACTACTTTGAAACACCATTCCTGGGAAGGAACCACGCCCAATCCACTGACCATAAGGACAATGTCCAGTACAGCTACGCCATGCAGTTTAAATAAACTTTATGGGGTAACTTTATCAGAGTAAAAAACGATTGGGTCAACAGTAAAGGGGATTACATATTTGAAAAATTATGGAAATTGTTGACTGAATCCATAGTGTTGCATGTTTTTTGTGGTCTATAAATAATTTATTGTTTTTACGGCATAACATAATCGATCGACCGTTCAAGATCGGGCCACAATTTGAGAAATGCTTGGCGTGGCCCTCTGATGGTCTCAAATCTTTATAGCTTGAAAGTGATTTATTGTTTTATTTTTTGTTTTAACACGATAATTTTATTTACCGAGTTTTACTGCGAGCGATATTAATAGGATATATTTTTTACCGCATTTTTTCCGTATGAATAACATGATTTGATAACCGTTGCTATTGGTCGGTATATAATGAGATAATGTTATTAGGGTGTGATAAACATTACAATAACATGTATACGACAATTTGCACTGCAGAAGAAAACAAGGATACAAAGTACGCTTAATAAACAATTTACAAGACATTAAAACTGAGACTCGGATAAAAATATAAACGCTGGCCAGGAATAATAAGTTCATTCGCCGGCCTGGGATTCACTTAAATCAATAAACAGATATGATGCTTAATGTTTATCTAAAAAATTCTCATGGTTGAAAAAGGATTACACATTGTCTATTTAACCAACACATTATAAGCAACAAACTGAATTGCTTAATTGTACTTTTCAAGGTCTCCTCAATGATTTCATTGCCCTGCACTATTACAATGAAGGAATTATCGCTTGTTAATAATAATCACAATGTCAGATTTTTAAAACATAACAGCATCCACCTGACTACAAGTCTCCATTCTAGATGTCGAGGAACTTCTTCCATTACTCCATTGAATAGAAGCTTCAGAGCTAAAGGCTTACTGAGTTACTGTTCTTAAATTCCTCTTGCTTAAAGTCACAACTCCAAACTTGTGGAAAACACTGTGTCACTATTGGTGACGTTATTTTTTACCATCAACTAAGGGCAGCTCAATGCCGGATCGAATTCCAAGAAAATACTAATATAATAGTCTGAGGAGATACAATGTTGGAAAGGGGATGATTGCATTAGAAGACCATTATTAAGAAGCAGACTGACCATTGTTGGACTGAACTAAACATTAATTAAATAATGAACCTCTGACGACACTTAGACAGATGACGACATTAAAAACATCACAAATTATCGCTAATTTACTTAGATTAGCTGATAAACAATGAAAACCGATAGAAAGATCAAGGATGATTGTGCGGAGTTGAGATGACGCTAGTTGGAAGATGAAGTCGAATGGAACACTAATCAACCCTTTTCAAGAGAAGTCGATGAATCATGATAGAATATTTAGTTATTTTTAGTTGCATTAACATAATATGATATATTTAGAGAATTCTTGAATCACTTACACATCTCTACCTCTACCTCGTTATACATCTAATAACCATAATATTATGTTTCGCACGAATTGCCCGCATTTGACAAATTCCTAACATATTTCTCATTTCAGTTTCGATGATCTACTGTGTGATATGAAGATCAGCTCGTAAAGATACCCTGTAAAGTGTGAATCTATTTAATAATCTTTTTACTCAGTTCCAGTTACTAACCAGGTCAGAATTTAACGTTAATTAGGTAATAATTGCTGTTTGAAGCCTGTTATTTCCATTCTCCATTTATTCCTGAAGTTTTCAAGATTGAAACGTCAAAAAGAGTGACATAAGCCCCGTGATTTTGATATGCTTAACACATCCTTTGGTTTTTAAAATGGCCACGTTTAATACTAGATAATGTGTCGTACTGACTGTTAAATACGCACAGGTGGTAAATTTGACAGTGTTTGAAGGAACAAAGAAGTCTCGTGAGCAAAGTTTAGAATATTGAGACAGACATTCACTGCCACGCAGTCACGTGTCATTCACTGTCACCAGCTGTTGAGTTACACTGCTCTGTAACTGTTAGAATGAGGACAGGATTAGAGGCTGGTTTTAAACAACTCCACCCGATTTATCAGTAAGTGAACCTACCTACCCATTGAACCTATTGAGTGATGTAAGTGATGTAAACAGATAGTGCGGATCAGTTACAAATTTCTTGTTTCAACTAATTATGAGTTAAATACTGCCCCTGGCCCTGATTACAGTTGTTACGTAGCTAATTTATCAGCTGAGTTACTCCAAATTAAATAAATTAACCGTACGATTTTTTATAAATGGCTATTTAACTTTTCAGGAACAATAAGACTCAAGCACGATAATGTTGCAACAATTCTCCGCCACAACAAAGAGAGACATCTACAATAAATATGAAGACAATGGAAATGTTATCTTATGTGTTCATTTCCGGTCAACAGTGTAACCGAATACAGTGCTTGAGATAGTTCGAAATTGTGAATTCGAGTATTTTGACAACTTACTGTATGTGATATGAATGATTGCTTTATATTAGGCTGACCAATTGTGGTGATTTCGAGTAAAACCCCTCGGATTAGAATCAGAATTTTCCAAGATTTAATTTAAAGAAAGAGCTATTTTTGTTTGTTTCTATGTTAAACACGAAATAATAAGAGCAATATTGCTAAATTTGATAGTGCCTATTTCATGTCTATTTCATATGTAGTTGAAACTCGAATGGAATCTTTGGCGACTAGATGAAATTACTCTAAAAAATGGCTGCTATGTTAATTTAACCCGGAAAAGCCCTGGACGTAGTATGCACCAGAAATTCAAACTAACATCACAGTAAGTTTGATTCTTTGAAATCCAGAAAAGCATTATATTAAAACATCCATAATCGCAACATATTTCCCGAATAAAAGTGTTAGCAGTGGCCTGACAGCAGTGTTCAGACAGCGAAACTCTTTGAAAGAACAGGTGCGGGGCCAAAACTGTATTATAATCTGTAGCTACTAGCAAAAATGTGCTCGCAACTGTGTAAAGTGCTGATATTTTGGCGCGGCGCGAAAAGCCGCGCAGCTTAGTCTAATATAATTTATCTTTAATTTTAATTATTATGTAGTTCTTACATTAATAGATTACTCCAACTGATTTGAATAGTCAAGATTGACATTTAAGTTGCAGCATTCCGTATGACGACGAACCTTTCCAAAATACCCACTGAATCTATTATCTACTGCTTACTGGTGGTACGTACGAATCAGTAAAGTCATTCCCGATCTCATTTTTAAATCCCGACCGAAATAAACCCAATAAATCCCGAAAGTCGGGAATTTTCCGGATACCTTACTCGGGAATATTATAACTGGGATAAAGTGGTTGGTTTAGGAAAATTCCGCCATATTTTTCCCGGTCATTAATTTTCCCAGTCATAAATTAACCCGCTATAATATTCCCGAGTAAGGTATTGAAAGTTCGTTAGAACAAATGTTGTCGTAAGTTGTGTGACCCGCCGCGCACGAAGTGCGCGGCTCCCCCGGCCCTGTATCGTCAGGACGATAAATAGTAAAACGACCGTGGGGGTCGCAACGTGACACAAATGGTGCCAATCCTGGAGTTCGACTAAGAGTTTCATAAAAGTGTACTTGAAGCAGTATAGAGTGTCAATTGCAATTTTGATTTGTCATACGTTGTATGACCGCGGCACAAGTGCGCGGCTCCCCCTGTATCGTCGAAACTCTACTATAGTGAAGCGACCGTGGGGGTCACCACGTGATACAACTTCCTCCTCCATCGCCTCCTCCTCCCCTTCCTCAGTTCTCTTCCTCCTCCTGAGTCTTTCTAATTCTCCTCCTGAGTCCTCTTCCTGAGTCCTCCTCCTCTTCCTCAGTCCTCCTCCATCTCCTCTCCTTCGGTTCCAATTAGAATTATACCTCTCCATGGAATCACATAGTTCCTGGCATCCAACAATTTAATTTCATTCCCCTTGATGGTTCCAATTAGAATTAGACCTCTCCATGGAAACACAGTATTCCAGTATATTTATTTCTAGTTCCTGGCATCCAATAATTTAATTTCATTCCCCTTGATGGTTCCAATTAGAATTAGACCTCTCCATGGAAACACAGTATTCCAGTATATTTATTTCTAGTTCCTGGCATCCAATAATTTAATTTCATTCCCCTTGATGGTTCCAATTAGAATTATACCTCTCCATGGAATCACATAGTTCCTGGCATCCAACAATTTAATTTCATTCCCCTTGATGGTTCCAATTAGAAAGATATTATCTCTGATATTGGGATACGAAACATGTATCAAGTTCCTGGCATCCAATAATTTAATTTCATTCCCCTTGATGGTTCCAATTAGAATTATACCTCTCCATGGAATCACATAGTTCCTGGCATCCAACAATTTAATTTCATTCCCCTTGATGGTTCCAATTAGAATTAGACCTCTCCATGGAAACACAGTATTCCAGTATATTTATTTCTAGTTCCTGGCATCCAATAATTTAATTTCATTCCCCTTGATGGTTCCAATTAGAATTAGACCTCTCCATGGAAACACAGTATTCCAGTATATTTATTTCTAGTTCCTGGCATCCAATAATTTAATTTCATTCCCCTTGATGGTTCCAATTAGAATTATACCTCTCCATGGAATCACATAGTTCCTGGCATCCAACAATTTAATTTCATTCCCCTTGATGGTTCCAATTGATTGGCCGACATCTGTCCGACAGCGACATCTGTCCGACTCAGAAAATAGGTTATTTGGACAATAGTTTATGTCGGATCCTACCGTACGATTTTCTTGAAACTTTCCATAAAGTATAGTGGTTATATGACGAATAATCTGTGTAAGTTTGAGCGAGTTTCTATGAGCCAAATTTAAGATATTACCTTAAACACTAAAAATATATCCAATTCGGTGGTTTTCAGTGGTTCCAAAGCATATATCTGAAGATCCAACGATACGATTTTCTTGAAACTTTCTAGATAGTAAGATAGCTTTAAGACAAATAATTTTTGCTAGTTTGATTAAATTTCTATGTGCCAAATTTGAGATATCACTTCAAACACACGAAAATAGTGTTGTCGGACAGATGTCGCTGTCGGACAGATGTCGTGTTACCAAACTGATTTATTGTTATTTAATTTTGAATCTATTTAAATTATTATATTAACTGAATTACATTGTATAGACTGCATAGCAAAAGTTTGGAGCTTTGTCTGCTGAAAGTCAGTTTTGAAACAATTGAATGAAAGGAGAGCTACTGACTGATATCATAAGCTACAGTAGGGAACGTAGTGGTAAGTCTTTGTCAAGTTATACAATTAAAATATTGTAACAAGTTAAGTTAGGAAGATTGTTTGTGATTGGTATCATCGATTTTCACTTTTTAAGAGTCTAAATTGCAGGAACTTGAACTCGACAGAATGATGACGTGGTGACCATTATATCTGATATTATAACAAACTTGAAAAGTTACATGCTTTTTACGTAAATGTATGAACCAAAAGTGTTGCTTTTATTAGTGTTTCTTAAAACTGTAACTATCACGATCGAATTATAGACTTTAATTGAAGCTAATGGGACACATCTAACCGCAGATTAAACGTTTAGCCGGTGTAGTAGCGACGAAATCCATACCTCAGAGGTTGCCAGCTAAACCAGTTGTAAGTGGTTCACAATCATTAAAATTGTTATTGTTAAAAGTGCAACGACCTGAGCCATTGCGCCGTGACATGGACGGTAACACAACTCCTGTCCGACAGCGAGATCTGTCCGAATCAGGGTACCAGAAAAAAACGGCATCTGTCCGAAATCATCATCTGATTTCAACACATTTCCAATTAGAGACATGATCTGAACTCATGAACTGTTACTCGCTAATTTGTATACGTAACATTTCCAATTTGAGATATGATCTACCCAATGCTCCGCGTCCGCCATATAATATAACATTTTTTTTTTGAACATTTAAAATATAATTTGGAACATTACAGTAACGTTATTCAAATCTCAAACAGAAAAAAGTATATTTCAAAGCTTTGTGTTTTGATCATATGATTATGGGTGTATAGTGATTTTGATTGCATAAATTTGATTGGGCAGTGATGGTGAGTGAGAGGATGATGGGAGTGCCAGCCAGTAACTCTGTCAAATGAACAGCCCACTGAGGAGTGGGTGAGCGCAAGCGCGAGAACGGCAGAGAGGGTGGCATAAAACGGATTACACGGCCACAGAAAAGACACAGAAACTAAACCGTGCGCGGTAAGTTAGCCAGTGTCTGAGAGCTGGTGTTGCCCGGCAGGAGGCATCCAAAAGAGGTGCCGTGGTGAACTCAGAACTGTGGAGGCAAAGTTCGAATGCAAGGCGAAGCAACTCAAACTGATGATGAAGAGGTAGACTGAACGGGAAGTAAAGAAAAAGGAAAAGGAAGGATCCAGCTGAGGTCTGGCTCATGTCAGGAAGTGATGAAAAGCTCACAGACAAAATCATCCGTGGCTGTCTACCCCGTACGTAGGCAGTGTCCGAGATTTCAGGCATCAGGATACACTGAAATAGTGCAGAGCTGATTACGACCAGGGTCCTCACGGATACCCCGCCTCGGAGGTCGAGCCAATGCCCTGCTTTCGATACTTATGTCTACTGGTGGAACCTTCATATTTTCTCTACTAGCAGTCACTGTAACCCTATCACTCGGAAGGCCCCACAGTGAGTGTGCATTTATCCAGAGAGCAATATTCCACAATTGTGTTCCTAACCAAAGTGGTTACTCCTCCTCCTTTACCTGATTTGCGGATGTCACTATAGGATTTGTATCCTTTCAGGGAAACTTCGCATCCGGTTTCTTGGAGGCAGATTATATCATTTGGACTGATGATTTTGACAAATTCGGGATCCTCAACTTTGTTTCCGAGCAAGCCATGAATGTTTGCAACATTCCAGGAAATTATACCGTTGACGATGTTCATCAGTCAGGTATAGAAGATGAGAGAGGCAAGAGGAGAGGAGGAAAGAAGAAGAGAACTCGGAAGACTTGGAGGAGCTGAGAATGAGAGACTGGGATTCAAGTACGGCCCCTGCTAAATGTACTATTGAGACTTGTCTTGAAGTTTCCCATGATTACTCTGATACCTCTGTCATTTAGATGAGGTTGATCTGGGACAAACAGATAGTCGTGTGGAATATCCGATCCCCCCGGGTAGAAGTTGTTGTTTCTGTTTTCTCTTGATCTCATCCAGAAATCAGCCTTTTCACTGTCATCTTTAAGATTTCTGATTGCCTCTGTGATGAGTCGACTATTCTTACCCCATTCCTCTCCAGGATGGTCGCGGAGAAAGGGGTGAGAGATGAATATTTTGCAGTGTTGTGAGGTCTGTCTAAGGATCTTTTCAGTTGACTTTATTAATGACCCCACCACAATATCAGCCTTGTTGCCTTCCAGGATGTCCCGAGTACCAAGGTGAATGTACACTGCATCTGGATTGAGGTTTGAGATCTCTTCTACTGTTCGTTCGAGGCACGAGTCAAGTTCTTTCAAACTTGGCCTGTATATTACAGAGACATTGTACCTCTTTGGAAACTCGTCAGGTTTAAAGCTTCGCATGGTCGAGTCACAGAGGAGAACAATTTTCTTTTGGCGCTGTACTGGGTTACTCGCTCTTTTGGATCTCCCTGATCTGCGTTCTTAGCAGTACCCCAAAGGAAAGATCGTCGAGTATTTTCGTCCCATCCAGAGTCCCAGAGCAGCATTTTTTCGTTGTCGGTAGAGAGCATATAGTTTGCAGGAATAGGGAGCGTTTCCAGATTAGAAAGGTTTCCAGATTAGAAGGGTTTCTCGGGTTAGAAAGGTGTCTGTTTGCTGCTTTTCTGCTTCTCTGTACCATTCTGTTGAGGGGTGATAGCTGGCAGCTCTAGATTCGTAACCCAATCCACCAACTGATTCAGATAAGAGGTATTTCGTCGGTCGATCTCCACCAGAAGCTTTTCTTTTCAAGTTCTGTTTGCTGACGTGGACGGTCGTTTCAGCATGGTGGGCAGGGTGAGTGCGGTCAGGAGTAGGAGTGATCAGTTGTTTCTCCACGGTAGAATCGTGCTCTGCAACCCTTTCGGAAATCCGAATATTTCCAGTGGGTGGTATCGTCTCTTTATTTGTCGAAGACGTATCGGAAGCCATTCAGGACAGGGTTCTCCGGGCCGAGCCAGGGATAAACTGAAGATTGGTTGCAATTGTGGATTGCGATAACTGATCTACATACCGCTGTCTTATATGTACTCATGTCCTGTGATTTGATCGACAGCTTGTAAGTTTACGGCTAGGACGATCTGACGTTCCTGTTCTCAACTAGTCAATCATATATCGAGGATTATATCTCAATGGATCACATCAGCATTAGAACAATGGGAGCAACGTCACGAGATTACCCGTGAGCTTGTGAAATACGAATGTGAACTGAAATTACAATATGATCCGAAATTCGGACAGATGTCGCCAAAAACGAATCCTGTCCGACAGCCACATCTGTCCGAAATCCCTAATTCGGCTGTCGGACAGATGTCGCCCAATCGACATGGACACGGTTGGACACCACCTATACCGTTATTTGGTAGATCAACTTAATAGATTTACATGGTTTTGACTTACATCTCAAAACTTATTTAATTTAACTGTTACTATACCTGCCGGCAGGTATAGTAACAGTTAAATTAAATAAGTTTTGAGATGTTAGTCAAACAGTATTTCCCAGGAACAATATTTCATCACAAATGAACAAATTGCTCCAAGATACATACAGTTCGAGCTCATATGATTTTCTTCCTGTAAGTATATCTTGTCAATTTATGTCAAAGAATCGATGTAACATAGTATGTTGTTACACGCTTCATAACTTATCGCAGCAATGTGTACTATCCTACATTCGTTTTCATTTGGTATATACATTCATTGAAATAACTATTGTTTTTCAGCCAAAGAGTAGTCGAAGATTGAGAGCATTCCTGCTATCAAGAAACCTGTTATCAAGAAGCCTGATATCAAAAAACCTGATATCAAGACATGCAGCACTGTCAAATCGGTTAGTACAAGTGCAAAAACTGTTCGTGAACACGTGTCGCCCATCGGGATACTTGGATATTGCCGGTTTTATGTGTGATCTCGAGTTACATATGTCGTCACTCGTCATGCTCAAATCCATCTAAATAACTGATAATCAGCTGTTACCCGGGTGAAACTTCAGTTTATCTTCTATCAACGTTTATTGATCTCACAAATGCTTGATGTTTGAATTGCAGTGTCGTTTAACACTAACAGTACTTAAATCACCAGTATGTAAAGTCAAATCACTAGTATGAAGGCATATCATAGTAGTACATTTTACTGATTTAAATCGAAACCGTCAGATCTTAACGTTCAAAATGTACGATAAAAACTTTACCGAGCCGAGTTTTACCGAGGTTTTGCAAACATGTGGACGGGGCTAAGAAGGTCAAAATCGCCGGCTTACCTACCTTTAAGGTAGACGAATTGTTTCTCTCCATGATGCTCTCGAACGATCGAGGAGACAGCATAAGGAAATTATGTCAGGCTTCCCAGTATCCCATAGTGATGTTCTTCAATGGAATTGTAGAAGACCTGAACAGATCAGACCGGAAGATCTTTTATTTTCGGTTGCCCTAGCTGCTTCGGAAAGGTGCTCCTATTACTCAAAATTGGGTAGAGTCTTAACAAAGCCGTTTGTTGGTAAGAGCATCAAAGGTTGCTGCATTCATGAACTGATTACAAATCAACATTTCACGCAAATTGCGCCCAAGCTCTTAATGTAAAATGTAAAAGCAGATTCGAAAGACAATAAGAATCCATCTACTGTTCATGATCCTTCCCTGAATCAGGTTGAGACTGAGTTATCTGCCTCGGGGCTGCCCCTGCAATATCCACCAAGAGGTGATTCAACTGTAGAGCGTATGCTAAAACATGCGATGGAAAACAAACGCATTCCACTGAGTGGAATCCACTCATGTGTAAGACGGAACCAGTCAAATCCCTGTCAAAACTTATTCCTTCCGAGCAAATCTGCACACACTGTAACCAGCCAGGGGAGGTGGTTACAGAAGGAGGCAGTGACGACTGTTGAATACATGTTAATTTCTGTTTCACCTGTCAGACTCCATATCGATACACCGATGTCTCGGAAGGGGTGTTCACGGTTCAATAACAACGACCATACAATTGTAGACTGTCAGCTTCTGGAAACCATCTTCACCAGACTGACATTGTTTGGACACCCCATATCCGAGACAGTCGATCTTTCCGAAAGGAGTCCGACAGTCCCCACCTTACCAACAACACCCTAAGGGATCCCTTCCTACTCTATATGGGCATGAAGGAGACACCTCTAGACTTCCTGTCCTGTAGAGAGTGTGGGAGGCATTCCCCTGTCATCCTCTTTGATGTGAAAGCAATAGATAAAGGCTCTGACGGCAAACATGATGTCTACCCCATACAATTTGATGACTTGTGGAACATCGATCGTCAAGCAGAAAACCGGATCTAACGTCATCAACGGTATGCTTGACATGCTTAAATCAAGAAGGGGACACTGAGATAACGGGTGGAGAGGATAATAGAACACAACACAGATCACTATTCGTTCACTAAAAAGTTTGTACAGATTGCTGGGAAGAGTGGTGGACTTCTCACAGTCATGTGTCCACATGGAATATGTGTAGGGTTTAGGCCTTAGGGTCCTCTGCCTGCATGAAGGGGCATCGGATTACGTTCAGTTCCTTAGATCATGGCAGCATATTCCGTCAATATCTGTTGTGGTCTTTGCTTCCCAAGTGGCCCGCCATGCCGAGAAGCAGTTCCCTGGTATGCTGCCACCATACGGAGGAAAGCTGGCAGACTCTTCAAAACCGGAGATCCCGCAATTCATCAAATTCGGCGGCCTTATAAACTTCGATGAGCTGTTGAACCACAAAGTTCAATCTGTGAAATCCAACCCTAGAGACCATCCTGTAACCAAGTGAAGCCACAAGTTACCATATTTATGTCCATAATCAAAGATAGAGATTCGGCGGAAAGACAGTGCAGGTTGAGCGCCGCCCAGTAAGCCATAAGTACATCTTATTTGACAGATTTCATTCGAGTTGAATTTTAAAAATCCATTAGATATATTTCATCGCTTGGATATTTGTGCACAGCTGCTACGGAATAGAATAAACACATCAATTTGTGAGCAAAATCACAAGGAGCTTAATAGGTACAGATATTCATTATATAACATGTCGGTTACATTCATACATCTTATGAGAAACGGCTGCACGACTTCCAGGCCCCCTATTATTAGGGGTCAGATCATACTTACTTACTTGATACTTGATAAGGTCTCCTCGATCATTCGAGTGGCCTGCACCAAGGAATTGCCGCTTATGTCGTATAATCTCTCTCCAGTGCTTGCGATTTCCTGCCAACTCTCGGACCTTATCAAATACAATGTCTGGATCTCCTGTAAATGTTACTGCGTCTTCCAGGACACAGGTTCGCCAATTCTTTCTTGGCCGCCCACGTGATCTTCGGCCGTGAGCAGGTGTCCAGTCAAGTAGATACTTTGGTAGCCTGGTGTCCGGCATTCTAGAAACATGTCCAAACCAGCGAAGACGGTTGGCACTGATGTTGGTTATAACCGGGTTTATTCTTGCCCGCTCCAACACTTGAACATTGCTCGTCCGGTGGAACCATTTAATTCGAAGGATTCTCCACAAACAGTTTTGATGGAAAACTTCGAAGCGATGTATTTGCTTTGAAGTAGTGTTCCAGACTTCGCTTCCATAAAGTAATATTGTTAGAACCGCTGCAACATATATCCGTATTTTGGTGTTAGTTTGGATATTGCGATTCTTCCAAATATTACCGAGCTGATTGAATGCTCCTGAGGCTTTCTGGATCCGTGCAGACAAGTCCCGGTCAATAGTCCCATCACTTGATATAATCGACACAAGGGGGAAGTTGCTGACTTGCTGGATAGCCGTGTCTCCCACTGTAATGTCCACCGTTGATGCTTCAGTATACGGCCTCTGTGATGTATTCTTGCCGATGGCCATAACCTCTGTTTTCTTCGCATTGATTCTGAGGCCAGCCTGAGCCGCATACTTGCATAAAAGATCAGTCGTCTCCTGGAGACCGTCCTTGGTGTTGTCCATGATAGCCAAATCATCTGCATAGTTAGTATCCAAGACGACTGTATTCTGATCAAAGCTGGTGGTAGCTCTCTGCAGCACTGCCCCGTGTGACAACACTTTGTTATCCTCAGCCCGCTGCGCAGGCAGGTTGATGCAAACATTAAAGATAGGTGGACCCTGAATATCCCCCTGCCCAGAACCAGATGTAACGTCAAACCAATCTGAGAGCTCACCATTATGTCTGACAGAGCTGACGGTGCCACAAAAGAATGCTTGCATTATGCGAATGTATTTACAAGGCAAGCCATAATGACTGAAAGCTTTCCAGATAAACTCCCGATTAAGTGAATCGAATGCAGCTTTAAAGTCAACAAAATTTATGTACAGGGGGAGGTTAAACTCAATGCTGTTGTGAATAATAGTACGAAGCGAATAAATCTGATCAATGCAAGACCTTTTTTTCCTGAACCCGCACTGATTCTCTCGGAGCAGTTCTTCAAGCCCCGCATTCATCCGTCGCAACACTATTATCTGATATAGTTTTGATGCCGTGGAGCGTAGGGTTATGCCCCTGTAGCTGTTGTTCGAGCAGAATGATGTATCACCCTTTTTCGGGACAATAACAATGATACCCTTAACCCAATCCTCTGGCACATTCTCCGTCTCCCAAACACGTGCAAACAGTTTCTCAAGCCTGTCTAAAAGACCAGGAGCCCCATACTTCAGCTGTTCGTTGGAAATTTCATCAATTCCAGAGCTCTTGTGATTCTTCAGACTCTTTAAAGCCTCAGAGATCTCTGTTCTGCTAGGGGGTAAATCACTATCACTCAGATACGGAAAACATGGTGCGACGTCTAGACTGTCTAGGTCTGAAAGGTCCACGTCTCCTATCTGCGGGTTTAGTAGTTCAGCGAAGTGCTCACCCCATCGTTTTCGTTGAGCAGCGGGGTCAGAAATCAACTTCTCGGTTTTATCTCTGACAGCAGTTGACTTCCGACTCTTCTTGCCTGACAAGGACTTGATCATCTGCCAGACCTCCCTCTGCTGACCGTGTGAAGAAGCTGTTTCCAGATCGGCTGCAACCCGTAAAGCCCAGTTCTCATCGTCCTTCTTGCAGCTCTTCTTAACACGCTTATTAGCAAGAGAATACTCAGATCTATTGAATCCATCACTTGGGCATTTCTGCTTGACCTTACTCCGCTCCGAGATGAGATCCTTTGTCTCTTGTGACAAGTGCTGCTTGTCAGATCATTATATAACGTATAATTAGTGATGTGCCGTATAATTAGTGATGTGATCCACCAGCTACGATTTACAGAACATGTGAACTCTACCCTATATCTAGCCCAGTTTTACCCCTTAGTTTTGATTTAAATTAACAAGTACACACACAATACTAAAAGAACAGATATCGTGGAGTTGGGTATGGTAATTCCTTCGCCTCTTAGCGGGTTTCTTGCCAACACTCAACCTGTCGATGTGAAAGTCGGTAATGACTTGCTGATCTTTGATAGCTCGCACATACTCTTGAACAGAGGGCTTTGGGCGATGCACTCGGGATTTAAATCCTCTGTGAAAGCCCTCAACCATGTTCGAGGTTCGAGGGAACTCCGGATCCCGAATGATTCTGGCGAAATGGTTCCAGAATCCTAGTTTCAGGGATACTAGGACTTCTCTTCGTTCAGGAGCTGCGAGGTCTGCTTCGTGGGTGTGAGTTTAATGACTCAATGTAAGAGTATTGTCTGACAGGGTGAGATAACACCGACAGGGACACTTAGTAGGAGGAGTGTGCTTGCAGCACCGCCAGGCAGACTTGAGGGCTGAATCTTTTACTTGTCCTTCTTCCGGGAGTAGATGTATCCATCAGAGTCGAGTAGCTGTTGACATCCTGTCCGACCAGAGATGAATTTGGAGAAGGTAGGCATGTTGATAGAATGCGATACTATTGTCTATTATCTTCCAGTATATAATATACCTAAGAACACTTGATCGGCTCACTCCCGTTGCATGCCTTTGGCACGTACGTCTCACATCCCTAGATACAAGAACCCCTCTTTAGCAAGAGCTCCTGTCCCTTATGTGATATACGAGTCGAGCGGTCAAATCTTAAAGATCATGTTTACTTCTTAATGCACAGCTATGATGTACATGTGAACTCTACCATTTCTAGGTTAGTTAAATTCTACTGATGGATCACATTACTAATAATACGTCACTAATTAGTGACATGATCTGATCTCCCTGGCCCCCTAGTAATGAGGGGGCCTGGAAGTCGGCCTCCCGACCAGTCAGTGAGTGGAATAGGGAGTGAAGCCTGTTACCATTCCTCCACTCTTTAGAGTTTAGGAAAATAGAGCCAGCAACGAAGATTGATAATCGCCTGCTAGTTCCTGTAGCAACTAAATCATCTAGTGAGTGCCTGAGGATGGTGACCGGATTTTCGTCTGTTCAAGAGAAGAACATCCAACAGCAAGGAATGTGAAATATATCAATGCCATGCCGTGCCAACAGCAGACGGATAACTTCTCGTGTGGACCTCTATGCTTTGGGTTTCTCTGGGCATTTAGTGGTGGAAACGACCCCCAACAGATTCTGGTTCAACTCTACGGATATTAGGAAGACCATACTTAAAATCGCCGAGGACGTCAATAATCGCGATACACATCTTGGGAGAGAAGTGCAAAAAAGAAATCCAACGGCAGCGTCAAAATCTCTGGTAACTGTTTCCTGTCAGGCTGTCAGAATCCTTAACAACAAATTACTCTCCAAACCCTGGGCAACTTCTCTCCTAGCTCCAACTACAACCGAAATACTGTAATATAAGCCCATCACCCTTTTTCATCAGTCTCTGGAAAGCCCCTTTGAAGTACCTACAGGTGTATCTATACTAGTACCTATACTCATTCCACTAACATGTAACATGTTCACGTAATCATTATAATGAGCTTTCCTCACTTCTTCACTTATCACTCAACCCAGCCTCTCTTCCAGTGCTCTGGATTTGGAGGACTTAATTAATGATACACTCAATTAATATACTTGTTAATTGATCTTTGATGTAATTTCTATTCGGTCTATTATTTTAATTTTGTTAGTGCATGGAGTGAGTCATGTGTATTAAATTTCGTAATGAAGACTGCTTTCAATTCCCAATTGAATTTGTTTTAGTTCTTAGTACAATATTTTAAGAGATTAAGAGAAAAGGAAGTTTTGATACTATGGTTTCGTACACGCTGCTTTGCTTTTAATAACTTCCTGGGTTGATGTTATACAGGTGGGCTGTGTAGAATAATTTTAAATTTGGGATAGACGTTGCAAAACTATGATCGACCGCCAAGCTTTTGTTATATTTGAAATAATAACAATAATAAATTAAATTATAAACACTGCTTTTAAGTTGTAAAACTTTTACTCAGCAGTTTGAGAACAACTACAAAAGAACAAACTGATATAAGTGCCACAATAACTCTATCCTAAATTAACAGCCTTCCCAGCAATACACGATATATTAATATAACTCAGTAAATAGTACACACTACACAGTATTATGTACTATGTAGTACACAGGCACATTCAATCATTTAGTAACCATAAATGTTTAGCCAGTGAATTATTTTAATGGTATTATTTACACACTGCTCCTCATGATGTGTGGTATATTAAAGCTTTATTACCGGGACTACTGTATTTCGTTTACTTGTTAATCCGACCGACTGCTTTAAACTTTTTTTAAGTATGTTGTCTTCAAATTAATTCTGAGACCCACTCAATCAATACGATGCTGCATTCCATGTTTACATTGTTCCTAATTACATTGTTATCTTCATCCATGATCGCTAATAAGCTTAATAACATTGTTTGTAATTTAGTACTTCTTTTTCACTTGTTTACAAAAGAAATATGACTCTGAATTTTTCAGCTCCAGTACCTTGGTCGAGTTAAATCGTTTCTGCTCAGATGTCCGCTGGAGTACTTCGTAATGTTGTTCTAAGGATGAAAAAAGGTAGTACAAAATTTAAGATTGTAAATCTTTAGAATCATACTGTCTAGCGCCTAATCGTTTAAAATCTGGCGAGTAACTGAGATAACTAAAACCTGATTGAGATTTGAAATGTTACTTACCATTGTACAGTCAAAAATTATATTTTTAATTTCAGCATAGTGATGAGAGAGGGCTATCAATGTGTGGGATTTCTGCTGCTTTACAGTTACAGTCATCTGACTTTTTCATTTTTACTCAGTGACTTTCTGAGGAAAGAGTTCTGCTAAAAAAGATATGCACGCGAGAGATGTTTACTCTGAGATTATGCTGATGCCGGATGCATCACAAACACATATTATTCGAACTGCAAATCGGAGAATTTTTTTATAATCCTGAACTTAATTTAAAATCCTTACTTAAAATCAATTCTCATCCAATACTTCACAGAGATTGCATTTAAGAGAGTAACAGGACGCTCGCAATATCTTGTATATATATATATTTTCTTGTGTTTGAAATCATTATATCTCAAGTTTGGCACATATAATTCTCCCAAACTCTCACACATTATCCGTCATATAGCCATGTAACTATCTGAAAAGTTTAAAGAAAATCTATCAGTCAGACCTTGAGAAAATCATTAGAAATATATTCTAAGTTATTCACAAAAACACTGTATTTTCGAACTTTTTAACTTTTTATTTTGAACAGATTTGTCGTTCTGGTACCAAAATGCTTTACCATAATAAACGTACGGCGCGAGAACATTTCCTCGTCCAAAGTCTGACAGTTAACAACATGCGTAGGATTCCCTCAAGAGGGGAAATCGTAATCGCCACCCTCTCCTTCCTCAGTCCTCATCTTCCACCTCCTCCTCCTTCTCAGTCCTCCTCCTCCTCCTTGTATCACGTTGTGACACCCACGGTCGTTTCACTAGGTGTATCGTTCTGACGATACAGGGGGAGCCGCGCACTTCGTGCGCGGCGGGTCATACAACGTATGACAAGTACACATGACAGGATAAAGTGCATCGCACTACAATGTTGCTTGAAATTTGTAGAGTGTACTGTGCTTTCAGTGGCGCGGATACATAACTTGTACATTTATGATATAACTTGTACAACACTATAGCCCTGCTGCCTGCGCGCTCGAGAGATCTCACATGTAGCCGGGGAAAATTGGTAAAAGGGACTACTTTGTAGCGCGATGCGTTGATTCACGATGTCAATCCTTCGCATCTCGCCGATCTGCGAGAAGCATTATTGGATGCGCGCGCGCGACCCACTAGTGCATCGCGCTACAACGCGATGCGTTACTGTGCCGCGCCGCGCACTCAATGAGGCTTCACACAGATCGGCGAGATGCGCTACTGTGCCGCGCCGAGCTGCGATGAATTGACATCGTCAATTAAGGGAATACTTTGATTTGGGGGACGGTATATTTAAATATTTTTGTATTATCGTTAACGGGTGATACTCGTAAAATATTTGTTCCAAATTGCAAATATTACAGGACCGTCGACGAGTCCAACTCGGCGCGCGTCCTGGTAGGTTATTAACCTACAATATTATCGCGATCGCTCAAATAATTTTATTGTATTATAATTTAATCGTATACTTCTCTTTGAAATGATTCTAATATGTAAGTGTATAATTAACTTGATTGACGATGTTAACCGTTGTATCACGTGGTGACCCCCACTGTCGCTTCACTATATAATAGTGAAGTAGAGTTTCTACGATACAGGGGGAGCCGCGCACTCGTGCGCGGCGGGTGATACAACGTATGACAAGTTTACCCTTAATTGACGATGTCAATCCTGAATCCGTCGAGATCGTTGCTCTGCTAGTTTGCGCGGCGCATTGGCATCGAAGCGGCGAAATCCTCCAATGTTTACCCATATCATTAAGATCAAAGTTTGTTGCTTTGCCATTTGCGAAGCAAAGCAACAATCTGTCGATGCGAAGCAAGAATGATAGTTCTCGCGGCGCGTCGAGGCGACAAACTTCTCTAAATAATTAATTTTAAGCTTTATACTATACTACAATAAAATTGCATTTGGAAAATTATGTTATATACGTTGGCATGGGGGAATATTTATTTTATTGTTTGTAATAATATCTTTCTCATAGCTCGATGAAAATGATGGTTTGTCATTTAATATAAAGACATGTGCGATGGTGGAACGTCATAATGTTTATTTCATTTCACGTTCTTTTACTATGATACTTCAAAATATGGTAATAAGAAGGGAAACAAAATAAAAATAAATGCAAAATGAAACAATGTAATATAACTCATGATTAAAAATGAAGCAGATGTACCCAATAGCAAGCAAATATGCTGTCATGTTAGTTAGTAAAACAAATAGTAAAACAAATTTTATTTTATACCCACAATCAATTCATATTTAGTTCAAATATTTAAAGTCAAAATAACCATTTCACATAAGTGGTTATATTGTAATAAAATAATTTGTGATAAATTAATAAATTAATTTACACTCAAAAATGAACAAAATATACACAATTTTTACCTAGTGCAACACTGGTTCAGCGCGCGGCTGATCGAAAAAGTTTGATTTGATTTACTAACTACAGTGTACAGCGTACATGAAAAAATTACTTACTGAATCTTTTAATACTAGACACATTTTAATTCAGATGTTGTTCAATGAGTTAGCCACAAAAATGTTCAAATTATGTAGGAGGGTAAAGGACACAATTGCTAGTAGTGCTTCTTTGTGCCCGTTGACTACAATGAACATTTTGTGGAGTTTCTCCAGACGGCTTTTATCGGAGTGCGTGTTATTTACTTGGTTATGCACAAGCCAGGCCAACATTTTGTTTTTGTGTCAGCCGTGCTACCAGGTTGCAGAGTATCATAAACACTAAACAATTATACACTATACAAATTTGCTAATACAATATCATGCAGAGTCCGATCTAGCTGCAAACGTCAGACACCACAGTTCAGCCGCCAAGTACCGTTTAAGTGAACACCGAAACACGAGGTTTAGGTATCATTTTGTAAATCACTTTATGGATGGATAATTCAGTAATTGTTGAAGAAAATTACAGTCACTGCCACCTATAGCGTTATGTCATGGGTCTGATTAACGGCCAAGAATAAACGTACGTGCGCGCTTAAGAAACCCGCGCAAATGTTGAGGTAGGGAGTAGCTGCAGCACGATTTAACATATATTACGTATAGCGCCGTACGGAAACGGCAATATTTAAGTAATTAAGTATTTGTTTACATAAATTCCACGTTTTTATCAATAATCTAGCATGGTCCAAAACTGTTAAAGTTGTCATTATGCCACTCATTATCGAACCTGCTTTGGGCATCTAGAAGAGATCGGTTTACCCCTTAGCTTGCAGCCTTGCTACAGAATTTTTCGGTAATAAGTGATTTGGACCTTAACCTTATCAACACTCTTAAACCCTAAAAGGTCATGGAGTGCTTGTTGGATGGGGGTCTAAACTGCTTTTTGTTGTGATGTGATTTAGTGGATTTTATATATATTATTACAAAGGGTTTTATTTTTACCTCAGTTTTTTAATTTGTTCCATTTTTACAGAATTTTTATATAGGGTCATTGCTATATTATGAGTATATTGATTGATGCACAAAAAAATTTTTCGGTAAATTAAACCTTCTGCTCGAAGCAAATGTATTTGTTTTGATTGTTTTGATCCTGCTGGTTTGTCTAATGTCTATGTCTAATCTCGTTGATATCTGTTTGCTTTCAACTTTATTCAGTAGAGGTGCACCGTATACCACCCAAGGGCTAACCACCCCCGTGTTGTTGCTTCTTTACTTAGAAGAATTTAATATCATCACTGTTACAACATACAATAAATATACCTACTTCCTGTCTGTAGGTGTTTAGTATTTTGATTGAAATAAATTTTCGTGCACATACAGAATGAATGGTTAATAATTTAATATATATGTAGACCAAGCTCTGTGCACGGGATGCTTCCTGGAAGAATCCAGTTCTTTTAGCGGGGCACCCTACCTAAAGCCAAATTGAGATATAATAATCATATTCCTAGAGAAATAATCAGAAATCGAATACCAATCAAATAATATGATATATATGAGTAGTAACCATATTTACTATGCAAAATGCCCCAACCACATAGTGTAAATTTATATAGAATTCAAATTCCATATCATCATTAAACCTCAATACCTAGTCAATATAATAGCCCAAGCAAAATTAAATAACTTCTTATATACCTTACTGTCATACTACAAATTAATTAAACATTTGAAATCTGTTGACCAGAGAATAAATTTCTAAGCCTAATGCAAGTGAAATAATTTAGATGCAATAATGAATGCCTAATGTATTAAGTATGTATTTGAACAGGTTGTTTTCATGAAATTGTTGTTTTCTTGAGTACACATATTGGAGGTTTTTTTAAAGAAAAAAAAGGGGGGGGGGGGGGGGGACCCCTCAACCCATGGAATGTAGCTGAGACACCTCACAGCAAGTAGACCAAAGTGGCTCTTGCTTGAGGTTTCTGTGATTGTAGGGCACCGACTGGCACAATCACTTCTGACGAATTCTTTATGCATCTGACAGACTGTATGGATGCCCCTTCCAGACCACCACACTGTAGTTTGTTTTTGATAATGTCCTGTTCCAAGGTTTTAAATTATTAACTGCTTTGCTCACCACCATCTCCTGATAAATCGTTGTTTTAAATTAATCGTTATAAAAAATGTATCTTATTAAATTTAAAGGGAAAACAGAATTAGAAAGTGCATGGTATAGAAAATAAAACCTGGTATAGCCTCTCAACCGTCTTATATACCCCAGTAGGGCCTTATGCATGTGTGGTGTCGTATTATAAATGAATATGTACTTAAATCACCACCAAAAGCAAATATTGTGAACTATGATAAATCACAATTCTTGCACAGGCTAATTAAATTAAATCTTGGGGGAAAAAGGAGGCACGGCATAAGTAAAATACAATTTTTTAAAAGTAAAATACAATTTTTATTTTCCACAGAAGAATCAATACATATTGAATTATAAATATCCGATAATTCCATTAATAATCATTAAAAGTTGCTTTGTCATTTGTAAAATCAAAAACGAAAAGCCGTACGCTGAACTGTGAACGCGCGCGGCATTTTTTCTGCAGCTGCCTAGCTTCAAGCTTGTAGCCGCTAACATCAAAGCCGCCGCGCGCGCCCAGTGCTTGGGTGCATTCTCATTAACAATTAAACTTGGTCAAAGATAGTTATATACAATTCCTAAATTAAATCAATAGTTTATAGGAGGTTTGACTATAGTAACAATTTAAAAATAAATAACAAACCTATAATTTCTTTATCTCTGATTGAAAATATCTCAAGGCAAAGCTAATCATACCAATGGATGATGACAATGATAATGAAGACCCCAAAAAGCTGAGCCTTTCTCGAGAAATCAAGTGAGTAACTTTTCATAGCTTAGTCTAGCTGTTGAATTGATTGATCTAGAAATACATCCTATAAACTATTAGGTTCTAGTTTTTCTCATTCTAAGTAAAGCAAACTTTTCAGATTCATGATGTATGGCTTTGGAGATGATCCATGTCCCTATACTCAGTCAGTAGCGCTGATAGAAGACATAGTGCTCAATTACATTAATGAGATATCCCTAAGGTATTATATAACTGGTTTAGGTTATCTAATTGAGATTGATTCTTGTCATGTTGCTACTAGATTGGGTAGATTGAAAGTTTTTAAATTCATAATTTGATAGAATGTTTCAATAATCTATTGTTTATGATTCATCCAAGTCTAGAATTTGTTATTTGAATTATTTCTGTTCACAATTTGCTCCACAGTAAAATAAACTGGACCTCATTTCAGTGCCTTGAATATGGGGAAGAAAGGAAAGATAACTGTGGAAGATATTCTACATTTGATCAGGCATGATACCAAAAAATTTGGACGAGCTAAAGAACTTTTGATATCAAATGATGAAATAAAGAAAGCACGTAAAGGTTTTGAAGAAGATAAATATCACATCTGAGGATGATATAGGTTTCTGTTAACTGTAAGATACAAAGAAGAAACGAAATCAAAATAATATATCTTATTTGTGAAAAGTCCAGCAAACAGAACTGTTTACTGTTACACTGTCTCTTCTTTGCTACTGTGATAAATAAAATGTTATCTGCGTGATAATTTCACTTTAAAGAATGACATTTTTGTAAATTATTTTGGGGAAATTTCATGTCAACGAAGGATGCCTGAACCAGCAATGTTTTTTAATCTTTAAAATTCAGAATAAATCAACTATAAATAAAGCTATTGTATTTATTTGAATTTATAATTTTGTTTTTGACAAGAATTTGTTTTATTAGCTGTTCCACTATTGTTTCATCGATGTTCAATCCTGATGTTTTTAAATTTCATAACAAATGACCATGATATTATACAACTCAAAAATAATCTTCTTTTATTTTGTAGTCAGATCAGGAATCATGTCTTCCATCATAAGTATTCCCGTTTCGCCTCTCATAATGTCGCTGTTCGAAGAATGTAAGGAAAACTTGAAATATGCTGACAAATCCAATACAGACTTCCTGATATTTCTTCTCAACTCCTCAATGCACATCTTTTCTATAGGTTTGTAACTACTTGACCTAACCATTTTATCAGTATTATTGATGGAGCAGCTCTGATCGAAGACAATCAAAATATACATGTCACATTTTATTTTAATGTTAGGAATGATTCATTGCTTGTTATATTATAAGTATATAAAGTTCAAAAAGGTTGTGAAGTGAATTTTGTTTACTGAGAATTATTTTCAGTGAAAGAATTCTCCCCAATCCTCCAGGATGCTCTGGGATCAACTGGTACATTGGAAAACGGAGCAAGTCAATTACAAGAGTAAGTATTTAACAATTTAAATTTCAGAATGTGCACTAGAAGATTGGATTAGGCCCAAAATCTAGTAAAGGGTAGTTATACAAACCATATTTTTCAGATTGGAGAAGAAGTCCAACGGGTTTTTATCCCCTACTAAACCTACATCAACTATTAACACGCTTCATGATATAAAAACAGACCAAAACGGGCATTGCACAAGCGATGATGAAATATCTCTCGCCTCTTTGACATCCCCTCACAAATCACCTACCCAACCTCCCATAACAGAATCAGCTATTTCTGATCACTTTGCTAATTACAGTAAACCATCAAATATTCACGCTTCTTCTCCAAATAAACCACATCATACCTGTCCAAAATGTGCGGCTACATTTTCCTTCAAACAAGGACTTCAGCGTCACTTGTCTAAAAACTCGTGTGATTTTCATTTGGGCAAAAAGAGAAAATTGTCATTGTTGAACAGCCAGCCAAACTCAACCACAACTAACGGAAAAGAAAGCAGTGAATCTGAAAGTGACAGTAGCGATGAGTCCGATGATGATTCAATCAAGATAACAAGCTCAAGCTTCAGTGGCAATCTCCTCTGCCCTGATTGTGGTAAGGGTTTTGTAAGCATTGGTAACTTAAACAGACATGTTAAACTATCAAAAGTCTGTGGAACTGTGGACTTCAAAGATTACGAATCAAACGATACCAAGTTATCCGTGAGTTTACCAGCAAAGTGGAGCGATGATGCCTCTCGCCCTGCATTTGAGTGCACATTCTGTAAGTCAGTTTTGTCAACAGAAAAAACATACAATGTTCATAAGAGAAAGTTCCGTTGCAGGAGACGTTGCAAGTTTTGTGAGTTTACAGCTTCACAAAGTATCTTTGTTCAAAGTCATCTTACAAAAGAGCACAATTTACTCTTGTCGGTCGATGAAATTGAAGACTACAACAAACAGTTGTTCTTGGAACATTTCAATGAACCAAATTTGGGTCCCATCAAGGAAGGTAAACAACGCTTATACTGTCCAGTATACCAGTGTAAGTTCTCTACCACTCACAAAGGCGGCCAGACGACACACATCCGATTCCACAAAGCAGAGGTCGCTAACAGTGGCGAAGATGTGCACGATTGTGAAACCTGTGACACTTTCGGCATTCCTGACGATAAGTTTGAATTTCATGATTGTGCCAAAGAAGCATCAGCTGTTAATGAATCAGATTCAGATGCCAAAGAGAATGGAGCCTTACCAAGTGAATCCCTGCAAGCAAATAAGCCAGCCAAAGAAGAAACAGTCTCACAAAAGGAGAATTCCTCCAAACTAGTTGAAGAAGAAAAAGTTCCACAAAAGAAAAGTTCTCCCAAAAAGAGATCTCCAGTATCCCTTAAACTGAACAAGAAGACATCTCCGGCCTCAGGTGCCATGCCTTCATTGCTAAAACTGGCTACAAACAGCACATCACCGAAAAAGAAGGCTAATTTGTCGTTGAAGAAGAAGTTATCCGGTAAAAAGGGCTCACCAGAGGATGCAAGATTACAGTGTAAATTTTGTGACTTCGTGGGCGCGTCACATAGGCATGTAGCAGGGCATATGAACGTTCATAAGTTTAAACGAGCAAGATTGAGTTCAAATGCTACTTGAATTAGTGTAATGTTTCTAGGCACTAGATTTAATGGAAAAATCTTCTAACCTTTCTAACCTTCTAATTGTTAAGTCGAGCTATTTGAGACGTTTTATAATATTTAATATACTTAGTCACGTGTCTGGAAGTAGTATCTTGTTTTGTATGCGTGTGGGGTTTTGCTGACTTTTGTATGGCTGTGTTGTTAATGTTGTTTGTGATGTGGTAACACTGAATGTGTTATGCTGCTAGATGCGATGTGCTTGTTGTTTCTGTGCGATAATTACATAATTAGTCAGTGAATAGTAAGTATCAATAAAGATTTTTATGATCATCATGATAAAGTTTAATTGAATTAAGCTAATATTATAGATAAGAGAATTGAAGATAATTTTTAAAATATGCTGTTTGGGGTAAGGGTGATCCAGAAAATGTCAAACATTTCGTAAAATTTTATAAAATGACTTTGTTTACATATTGCAATATTTGACATTTTCGACACCTATCTTGAAAATTCTTGGTTTTTTATAAATTCCCTTAAAATGCATTGTGTCGACCATGTCTATTCAATGATCCCACAGTTATATTAATTAATTGCTATAAATCAATTCAATGTTGAATGTACTATCTCAATTTAATAATTATAAAATAATAATTATTATTACTGTATCACTCATTTCAGTTTATTACTTCAGTCGTTGTAATCCCCTTGATATTATAATCTCAGTCCAGCCTTTCGGACTCAACATTTCAAAATTATTTTCAATACAGCTGCGACTTTATTTAATAACACTTATTGAGCACATTTCTGTCCAATAATTTAATAATTATGAAGATTGCTCTTGGTAAGATGAGCAGTTCATAAGAAATGAAAATAACTTTCTAATATTAGTCGTAGGCATGTGTACGTTGTTTGAGAGTCCAGTCAATCCCATGGTGGCTGTATTATACAAGGAATGCAAAGAGGAATGTAAATTCACCGACAAATCAGATTCAGACTTTCTGCTCTTCCTTCTCAATTCTGCTGTCAGAATTCTTAATGTTGGTGGGTTCAAATTCTGTTGTACCTTAGATCACAAAAGTCTGAACGAAAAATTTTGAGTTTAACATTCATGATCCCGATTATGTATTTTAATATTACATATTTGAACAATTTTATGATCATCTATTCACGGTTTTGTAATGCTTAAAGCGTCGATTGGTTTTGGAAAGTTTAAAAATAATTTATCTTGTTCAGTGAAAGATTTCTCCCCGTTGTTAGAAGTCACAACTGGAATGTCTTCTCCCTTGGATTCTACAGGTTTCTAATTATTTGGCATAATTATGTTATTGTTATAGATACATATACTAAATTGTGTTAATTTGAATTTGATTATCTGCCAAGTATCAGTTTCTACAATTGGTAATTAAATTGTTTTAATATTGGTAATTATTGGTAATTGGTAATTTAACTAGTACGTTTCAGAGACATTCCTGGACAAAACAAACCAATCTGGCGCAGATATTTCATCATGTGAACCAGGAACTGTAGATACCAGGTATTTATAAATACTGAAATACTGAACTTAATTAGTGAAATGAGAAATCAGGAGTGAGATACATAATGACGTATTATAATTAATATACAAGACAAGAAATGTTTAATATTCAAACATTTACCATTTTTGTATTCAATTGGGTTAATTGCCAGCCCGTGAAATGCTAGCTGACAACTTTTACTCTGTAATACAAATTCTATATTATATATTTGTAAATGGATGTATAGTTTAAGACTTTGACATGATCCTTTTAGCAGGATATCTGAATACGAAGATGTTCTGCTGGACAAAATAGAGAAGTCCTCCGACATGGAGACACTACAAAAGTACATAGACAAAGTACAGCGCAGTTTGGAGGAATTGCCCCCTCTGAACGAGAGCTCAAGTGCAAATCAGGACGGGGAGAACCAATCAGATGAGGCTGATGATCAAGACATTGAAGGAGACTCCAGCAGAACTAAAACACCCAGTGATGCAAATGAGAGCGAAGGTACTGATGTTAACGGGACAATGAATTCGGAGGACATATTGACTGACGCTATCTCAGAGATCTCAGAAATTCTAAACAAAGCAAATTTTGACGAGGACCTGAGAAAACTGACAGGTATAAACCCTTTATCCAGATCTGATGGAAACAATTTTTCGTGCACCATCTGTTTCACTCACTTCAAAAATCAGAGAAACCTCAGTAGGCACATAAGACTTGGTGTCTGTCTTGAGAAGAACTTCAATTGTAAGCTGTGTGACCATTCATTTGCAACAGAGTACGGACTGAAAAGGCATCTCAGCCGAACCATGTGCAAAAAACGTGCTATTGAAGAAAATACATCGCTTAGCCCCAACAAGGCGGCTAAACTAGAAGAAGACTCAATCATTCAAGCGCAATTCATCTGTGACCTCTGTAACTATTCGTTTGCAACTAAAGCTGCGCTGACTCAACATGCCAGCTCCACCAAGTGTGATAACAATCGTCTCCAAGGGTTAGCCTCCAAGGAATCCAAACCACCGGGTTTCTTTCAATGTCCCCACTGTAAATCGACTCTTGCATCAAAAGCTGGGCTAGCAAAGCATCTGAAGAGAGCTCAGTGCAGGGTGTACCAGTGCCCGTACTGTACCAAATCATTTCGGTACCTCCACGAAGTTCGTACTCATCGGAGACTGGAACATAAAGACTCGGATGAGCTGAACACGTCTGTTGCAAGGAACTTTTTCAACAATATGGGAGGGGTGCCAACCATGACGTATGCTACCAACATCTTGAATAACATCAGCGCTTTACCGTATTTGAGGGGAAGTCAACTCGACATGGCAGCTCACCAATGCAAGGTTTGTAGCTATGCTGGCACGTGCAAACGCTCCCTTGAGAACCATATGAGAATGCATGTAAGGCAATTGAAAGCCATCGGTGACAACGAAAAATGTACCCAATGCGACTTTACTTCAGACGACCAAAATGATCTGCTAAAACACTACATTAATAAACACCCGGGCCTTCCTTACTTCAAGATGGCTCCAAAGGGCACTTTCATTGTCAGGTCAAACAGGATGACCGAACCAAAAGTGGAAGGATCAGCCGAGATAAAAGCAGAACATACCACAGAGAGCCCAGAGGGGGGAGCTGAAGAGGATAATACGGGCACATCTGATGAAAGTGAGAGTATTGATGATTCCAAGGTAGAAGTGGCATTACCGTTGAATGACAATGAATCTGAGGAGATAGATTGTGTTTCTTTGAACAGTCAGTGTATTAGAGAATCTTTAGAGGGTGACACTGAAATTCCGTGCGATATTGTATGAGTTTTTGGAATGGAGTTCATCTTGGGTTAAATAAAAGCTTACATTCTATAGTTCTGCACTGTAGCTGATTTTTGATTTTGTTCGTGATGTTTTGACCTGAATTCAGCTTTGTTGACATAAAAGCTAATGTGTTTATAATTTATAGGTTCTAGATCTTTAGACTTCAAGAACTATGATATGGGTCTCATTAATGATGCAGACTGCAGAGGGGCTAAAAGTTAACGATAATATCATGTATTAAATTTCATTATTTTGTATATTATGATCTTGCAACATGTTGTGCGACCCTACAAAGCTTAGAGAATTAAGTGTAATAAACATAAGTAATATGTATTAGAGTGGAGACCATCATTATATCAGATTTAATTGTGGACAAATTTAATTTGAGTGAGGATATTGTTATGACTTACATCGATCATCTTGAACTTAAGTCAGATTTTCATACTGTACAAAAGTTTGAAAATCAGAAGCATAAATTGTTTGTATGGCTTGGGTAACTGTGTGAATCTAATTGTATTTGTTTAAAGGCATGATGTTCTTGTTTACTGCCCTCGTGTGAAAGTAAATCCCACCACGTGTAAGCGTGTGTCACGTGTAAGCACGTGTCACGTGTAACCGTGTGTCACGTGATTAATATGTAACCCCAGTAATTTGTTATTTCTATTATATTATAATGATACCTATTCTTAACAGTTTTTTATTGTTTTTAATGTTTTAATCATTTCCCTATTTGTTTAAACAGATTGATTATTGCTGGAAGTTGTGCTGTAATAATTTTTCTTATTATATAACATATTATATAATATACAATGCAGAGTAACTATGATTGCTAGGTTCACATTGTGACTAGTTGGGTGTATGTTACATTATCATGTTCATAGTGATTCCTTTGACATGTAACTATGTAAAGCTTACTCTTTTAATAATTAGTGAGTTTCAGTGGAGTGAACAATTTTGGACCAGACGAACTTATTTCAATCAAAACGACTACATTCCCTACATTCTTTACTGTGATATAATTGAATAAGTGTGAGTATTTTACTCAATCCAGTTTATATTTTGATTTGTCGATAGTGATACTGGTCTGTAATTTGAAATTTCAATCTTTTGGACAGTTAAAATGAACTGTTAAGTGAACACTATGTAAAGTTTATGAACAAAATTACGGAATTTCAAATTAGCTTTGTATTTTCACAGCTTAATTTCATTCGGTACAAACTTTAAATATTCAGTTGATGCTACCAAAACATTTTAAATAGTTAAATCAACATCAGGGTTGAAGCGTGTCAACATTTTTCAACGGGAAAATCACGCATATAAACTGATTTCAGTATTGAGATATTATTAACATGATATTATTATGTGCCTGTTCCAATTATTTAAATTCGTGCTTTACATTCGATGAAACTTGTTTTTCTCATATCCTGTCGTTAGTCTTGAAATGAAATAATGAATAAAGTTAAATTTTATGCAGCAATTTATCAAGAAATATTTGTGTCAGTTATATAAGAAACCACAGAAGGATGCAGCAAATCATTATTAGGTGAAGATATATCTTCATAGTCCAATCAGCAATTAAAGTAGACTTTCCAATTATAACTTGTTTCACAGTACCTGAGTACCCATCAGAGATAACAAAGACCCATTTTTAGTAGAAAATGGTTCACATGATGGGTTGCCAAACAACTTGATCACTTCTGGTCGTATCCAACATGGATGACGTTGAGCTAAGCCGGCTACTGGGCCGAGTTACTTCCGCCCTTGACTGTGCTAAAGATACTGAAAATGACCTATTCCGGTTAGTTATACGCCCTTATACGTAAAACTAAAGAGCGATATGACATTTCTTATCATCTTTATGACCTTTATTTTGATTTACATGTAACAACGTAAAATTAACGTGTCTTTCTTAATTTCAGGATGCAGACTACGTTGATGAGTGTTTTGAAGAAATATGGGGACCCAGAATACTCACTCATTAATGAACCTGAAGAAGACATTGTAGATGCCCATGAAAGTGTAACTCGTGTAATCGAAGATACAGATGAAAGTCTGATTTCTTCCGAGAATGAAGTAGACCAGCCAAGACTTATTGGTCACCAAGACAAAACAGCCCGACTAGATGACTCCGATGATGACGTGGATGCTGACGGTGGTAGTTGGAGGCCCAATAGTCTTGAAGTCTACAAAAAGAGGACCACTAAAGCAGAGGAACAAGCCAATCCTTTTAAGAAGTATCCTGGTCTTCTCCACAAGTTTGCGCCACAAAACAGAACGACTGATGCAAGCTCAGCTAGAGAAACTCACGCTGAAGTATCTGATGAGTCGACTGATGAAAGTTACCAGACCCCCTCTTCATCCCACTGTGACCTTCTGTCCGCGGATTCAAACCCTCCTGCGGCTCTCTTTGAGGAGCAAAATGCTGTTCAAATAGAAACTGATCCCAGACCCACAGTAAGTGACTGTGATACACCAGAAACACCTGTAAATACAGGTGATGTTGAACTGTCAGAGGTGATAAGTCAGGCTAGCAAACTGATGATAGACGCCATGAATATAGAACAAAGACCTGTCCCTCCACTTGCTTTCCGTAATGCATCAACTCCAATAAGACACAACAGTCCTCCCAACCCCACAGAAAGGTTTCTCAGTGATGACTTTGAACCCTTTACCCTCATCTCACCTCATCCATCAACCTCCGCAAGCAATCCCTCCGCCCGACAAGATCTGAACCCCGGATCTTACAATAGAGCGGTCTCCTCCCCGGTACGGACTCAGACCACCCCTGTAGATACACCCTACAGAGGGTACGAAACACTGCCTACTAATCTGGAACCCGGGTGTCCGCTGTGTGGCCTGGTCTTCACACAGGATCATGATTTGTCGTATAGAAACTTCCATGCTAATTCGTGTCTCGATACTTTAGGATAGGAATTTGGTAAATTTTGAGAGCTGTTCAAGACTTTTTATGACATAGTTTAAGGTCGATTTTTTGTTTTTTTTTGTTCGTGGTTCACGAGTATATTTTGCAGGTGTAATAGTTGTATGAAATGGAATTCTTAGTAATAATAGTATTGTAGAAATAGGTACATACTTAGTCTTATAACCTAGAAATTGCATAATTATTTGGTGTAGTTTTAATTGTTTATCAATAATGCCATTAAATTGAGATGGATGTTTTGTATGTTTTGGTAATACTTTAGAAATTGCATTGATCGTCATTTTGCTTTTATGAGAATTTTGTGGCGGGAAGATAAACTGGTGTTAAGAATCAAATACTGTTAACTGTTGATAATTCCTGAATTGTCAAATCTGCATGTCATAACAATAGTATATCAAATTCATTTGATCTGGATAAAACCATTTTTAATCACAAAATTGATAGAGTTTAATGTTTTGATGAGATGTATTTTATGATTTTGTTTCTATAATTGAATATGTAAAAAATTCGTTTAATTTTAAAAAAAGTTGTACCGATAAATGGAAAAAATGACGTATAAACTCAAGTAATCTTATTGCTTGAAAGAAATTTCTGTAAGATACTTAGATATCACCAGATTGAATCTAAAAATTAAATTGGTCACAATATGTCCGTTTAATGTTCTTTAAAAATGTCACTTTTTATAATATTTAAACGTAGAACGTAGATTATGAAGCAGAGATATTATCCGCAATGGGATTCCCAGTTCTACGACAGTGTTTTCGCTAATCCAGCTCCGGATCCTTTAAAGAACCTGAAAGAGGTATGTAACAGCTACTGTAACAGCTACTGTAACAGCTACTGTAACAGTTACTGTAACAGCTACTGTAACAGCTACTGTAACAGTTACTGTAACAGCTACTGTAACAGCTACTGTAACAGCTACTGTAACAGCTACTGTAACAGCTACTGTAACAGCTACTGTAACAGCTACTGTAACAGCTACTGTAACAGCTACTGTAACAGCTACTGTAACAGCTACTGTAACAGCTACTGTAACAGCTACTGTAACAGCTACTGTAACAGCTACTGTAACAGCTACTGTAACAGCTACTGTAACAGCTACTGTAACAGCTACTGTAACAGCTACTGTAACAGCTACTGTAACAGCTACTGTAACAGCTACTGTAACAGCTACTGTAACAGCTACTGTAACAGCTACTGTAACAGCTACTGTAACAGCTACTGTAACAGCTACTGTAACAGCTACTGTAACAGCTACTGTAACAGCTACTGTAACAGCTACTGTAACAGCTACTGTAACAGCTACTGTAACAGCTACTGTAACAGCTACTGTAACAGCTACTGTAACAGCTACTGTAACAGCTACTGTAACAGCTACTGTAACAGCTACTGTAACAGCTACTGTAACAGCTACTGTAACAGCTACTGTAACAGCTACTGTAACAGCTACTGTAACAGCTACTGTAACAGCTACTGTAACAGCTACTGTAACAGCTACGGTAACAGCTACTGTAACAGCTACTGTAACAGCTACTGACATAACAGCTACTGTAACAGCTACTGTAATAGCTACTGTAACAGCTACTGTAACAGCTACTGTAACAGCTACTGTAAGAATTAATATTTTTGAAGCACTTCAACTGCAGGTATTTAAAATTAACTTTTTATTTGGCAATGTTGGTGATCATCACGAAAAACCTGCAAATTATAAACATCTGATATGACCATAATATCTGATATATATCGAGGAAACTGCATCTTAATAACTCTATTAATTGCTAATTAACTGCTAATTACTTGCTAATTACTTGCTAATTACTTGCTAATTAACTGATAATTAACTGTTAATTAATTGCTAACCTGTAATCTTCAGGTGAGCAACACAACCAGCACTGTTCTCGGCTCCTCCGCAATCCTTTCTATCAAATCTCTAAAAGCCTCCTGCTCAGTAAGTGTTACTAAATTGTTTCTTTGTTTAACTAAGAGGTTAAATCGCCCCTATACTAGCCAGTAGCCATACAACCCCGGCACCAGCCATTAAAATGCTTCGACCCATATTTCATGGTAGAATAAAGAAAGGAAGAGGTATTTACTATTTACTATAACTCTCTAGTAGCTCGCATTGTAATATAATGTAAAATAATAAATGAATTTATTTGCTAATATCATGTGGTGACTGGTGACTGGTGACTGGCCATGATAAAGTTGAAGCCGACGTCAGACCACAAAATATTACCCCGGTTATCGGTATGAGCTCATTGGACATTGCATGTAACTTTTATGAATACAGTAAAACCTTGATATACTACAGATTTAGGGGAAATAAGGGGAATGACCACGGTAAATAGCTTCGCATTATACTGTTGAGTTGACGGAGATAATTGGGGTTTGATTGAACATTTACCTTATATTATATTGCAGTTATTACGAAATTTGTGCCTCATATAAACTACTTCCCAAGTTCATGTATTATGATTATTGTGGTGATCGATCATTCTGTTAAATAGCTAAAATGACAATGATTTATATTCGTAACCACGTTACAGTCACAGCACTATATATCTTTAAGTACATGTGGGGTGTGTCTTATATCAAAGATTATGTTGAAACTCTTAAACTGAATACTATAAATTCTGTTTGAAGCTTCCTCGCTCTCTCTCTCTGCCTCTCTCTCTTTCTCTCTCTTGAACCTATTTTGACCAACTGGCCGGCACAAAATCATCGAAATGCTCTCTTGAATCTGTCACATTATAAAATATTTGATTAATATCTACAGAGCCCGTAACTAGTGCAAGTGGTGAGGTAAAGAGTAAAATCAGACGCTGGATTTCCACAGATAAAGTGTAATTAATCTACCGCTATATTCTCCACTAACATTCCCATAAAGCCCCCCACATACCACCAGCTCATACACCCTCAACTAAGATCACATTCCACGCCCCTGCTGGACCCTTCCGACTCAATCTCAACATTGGGCACCCCATCATCATCTCAACAACATGACCACACTCGCACGCAGGCCCCTGACTACTGTACATCAGGTGTGTGTCATGTGTGTAACTGAAAAGTGAGACTTAGTTGTGTTGTCAGAGAGAGAGCGGGGTGGTGTAGGGGGTAGAGACTGTGCCAGGTCAGGGTGTGTGGCAGGGGAAGAATACGGGGAATGTGGTCGTCCCACGTGATGTGACGTCATGACACGTGATGTGACGTCATGTACCGTGCCCTTATTAGGCAGTACATATTAAAGGCAGTGGTGGTGTAAGGGGTAGAGACTGTGCCAGGGCCGGGTGTGTGGTACTAGCAGGGGAAGAATGCGGGGAATGTGGTCAACAAGGGACCGAGAAACGTGTCCACTTCCTTTACTACATTGAGGGAGGGGAGGCGGTATGTGTGTGGTGCTGGTGCAGTGTGTGTATGTGTAGGGCGGCGATGTTTCCTGATCATTGTGTGTATTGTGTGCTACCAGAACCACCATCTTGTGAGAGAAGGAGGAGGAGGAGGAGTGTGGTTACATATTGTGTGAATGGTATGTTGTGAGTATTACATGTGGGGTGGAATGGACGTGCTGTGACACATGACTGTGATTCTGGGTTTTGATTAGTTAATGTTGGATGCTGATTGGTTAATCACTGTCATGACGTGTTAGAAATACACACTTCGATCCTCCCTAGTATGCACATATTATTATTATAGTGGCGTTTTGACTATACCTGTTACCTGTCATACTGCGAACTCATGATCGTGTGATGCAGAGTTCCCGTCTGTGCATTGAAGTGTTTTAAATATTAGATGTTATTTGTTAGAAAATATTATACATATTATTATCAGCGTTCTAATCTATTTAAGGTACTTAAAAAGGACGCGTTATATAATACATAATAGTTTGGCCATACAAATTTCTAGATATTTCTAGATATTTCTAGATATTTCTAGATATTTCTAGATATTTCTAGATATTTCTAGATATTCACGGAGTTCTAAAATGTACTTCGTCATATATCACAAATTCCTGTGCAAATGTTTTAATTTAAAAATTGTTTACTGTTAAAATCCTACAATTCTATAATAATTATCCAGAATAAATATAATATGTGGGAAGATAAAAAACTAAAATTAAAAGCGACTGCCGACCCCAAAATACGTCCCTAGTATTTTGAGGTCTTTAGCCAGGAATTTTTAAATCTTAGATTCTATAATATAGGTGTGGATTCTGGTGGGGAGGCGAATCACATTTGTCTTACACGTGACAAATGACAATGCACTTAGGCTTTGATTAGTTAATACATTGTACATTGTACATTGTACATTGTACATTGTACATTGTACATTGTACTAGAAGCTGACTCGTAAGTTCCTGTGCCGCGTCAGAAAACAAATATGGTTCACCTCCCCACTTGTATCCAGAGATCTACTTAAACTCAAAAAAGGGTGTTCACTCACTGAAAATAGAGAGTTTCTGAGAGCAGGTCACTGTAGACCCCTTCTTCTCCATCTCCACAGTGTAGTCAAACATTCCTGCTTCCCGTTACCTTCTCTGTCTGGTGTAGTAACTTCAGATCCACTTCCTCACAGTCACTATTGCAGGTCACGTGATTGAGTTTTCCCACCTTCCAGGTTATCGTGTCCCAGGTTGTTGCTTTGTTGAGTTCCGCTGTGAGTGTGGCTGGTCTTCCTACTTTTTGGGAGGCAGGTTTGCAGTCCAGTGTTACTTCTGAAATTTAACAGTTTGTTGTTTTCTGATTTCAATTAAATCTGAACAATTATCCAATGAGTATTTCCTTAACTCCACGACACTCGCTAATGTTAATCTTACTTTTACAGTTTACACATTCTGACCTCTACTTTGAACTTATAATTGAACCAATTAGAGCGAGGTTTAATACCCTATTAAGCTATTATCGAAGTAATCGTCATATTTACCGTATTCGCAGTGATCAACAGATTTAGACCCAGCTACTGATGTTTTGTAGTAGGGACATTGTTCACATCCACTGTCAGTCATGTATTTTCCAGCCGTACAGGGAGCTGAAAGTATGTCTTGAATATTTTTGGTTTAAGCTTTAGTTTACATAATATTTGTTGTAATGAATATTAGCAGTATTTACTGGATCTAGTAAAACTGATATTACGTTACAAGCATTTTAAGCGACTTAACGCGAGTAAAAACAGGCGAATTTGTAATCTTCTTGTTATAAAATTTGTGCTAAAATAAAATACGATCTTCAGTTACAATGTTCAAGGAAATTTCAAACTTGAAAGGAATTCTATTTTATCAAAATGTTTTTTACCGTATCTGCAGTCATCTTCTGATGTAGACCCAGCCGCTGATATTTTATCTTCTGGACAATCAGTACAAGAAGCAGCTTCGGCACCACTGTACTGATTGTCTCCGCATTGTTGACATCCATTGTCAGTCATGTAGTATCCAGCAGTACAGGGAACTGAAAGAATTTGTGCGTACAAATAATATTTCGAATCCCCGAATATTTTGGTTCAATAGAACAAACTTGAGGTAAACATGAATATATCTATCGCGTAACAGAGAACAGGTTTCGATTAAATTTTTCTATTACCGTATGTGCAATCAGCCTCTGATTTAGACCCATCTTTTGATGTTTTGTCTGCTCCACATTTTACACATCCACTGGTAGTCATGTAGTCTCCAGCAGTACAGGAAACTGAAAGTATTTGCGCGTTTTATATCTCGAATCCCCGAAATCTTTGTTGTTTCAGAACAAACTTGGGGTAACATTAATATATCTATCTCGTAACAGAGAACAGGTTTCGATTAAGTTTTTTGGTACCATATGTGCAAGCATCCTCTGATGTAGAACCAGCTGGCGATGTTTTGCTATCGGGACATCCAGTACAAGAGTCAATTCCAACTGCTCCGTCGTTGCTGTAACTGTTAGCTCCGCATTGTTGACATTCACTGTCAGTCATGTACTTTCCAGCGGTACAAGCTGAAAGAATGAGTTATTATAATATAGGGGGAGACCACAAACATTGTGTTACACATTCTTTTCAACTTTCGATCATCTTAACATCAAAAGTTTCATACCCAAACAATCAGACTGTTCCGTGCCTTCCCCTGCTGCTACAGTTTTACCGTTAGGACATGGGCGACAATCTGTTTTGAAGGAATCACCGCTATAACCTCCGCTACTATATGTTCCTTTTCTACAGGGTTTACAACCTTGGCCTTCAGATGATAGGTAGAATCCACCATCACATGGGACTGCAATATTGAAAATATGTAAGTTATAGAAGTTCTAGAAATGAAGTTCTATTAGTATTAAGACGATTATACCAATACTTCATTTCAAACTTCATTTCTAGTTAGTGGTAACCAAAACTAAAGTTAACTTTCATCTGAAGTCAAATGAAGTGAATACTAATAACTAACTTCTAGCCATCTTTAAATAAATAAAAGTTTTAAAAACCATGCCCTATCAAGACACTTATTGATAACTTGAAACATTTGGCCTAGTATAACAGAGTTCGGGTATTTTTCTAACGTTTTACCTCGCATTTTATCCAAGATCTTACCACTCAAAATCTCAACTTAACCACATACGTGACAACTAATAGTGTTAATCTGAAATCAGTACTAAGATAAAGAAGTCATTTATCTTTGTGTTTTGTCACCTTTATATGCACAAAGATAGTTGTCTTGCCAGTCATAGACATTGCTCTGTGCACTGTCATATATCTGTATGCACTCCTTGCCTGTTTATTTTGCCCTTTGCACTCCACTTAAATCCGTATGGAGAATCTTTGGGCATGCAGAGCCAGTTGTCTTTCCATTTATCTAACCTTGCTTCATTAACCGGGATGCAGTGTTTTCTGTCTCAGGCCCCGGGTTGTTCTTTCGTCTTATTTGAAAGGTTTGTTCATGTCATGTTCACATAGTTGCCAGTTGGTATGTTTAGAATAAAGTCGAGCTTAATTTTAATTAAAATATCAAGATATGTTTAGTTTTCAGATAATATGCATGATATAATATATTTTATTTAATAGGTATTATATATTATTTAAGGTTTTAAATTGTCTAAAATCCTATGTTGTCTCATTAACTCAGCAGCAATAAGAGTAGTAATTACATAGTCCACATTTAATGCAGCGTCATTAATTATATCATAGTGATGGGCTTCAACCTAAAGCATTTCAACAGAAGGTAAATATAAATAATAAAACATACAGCAACTTACTATTCGTCCATGTCAACAGTTTTTCCCCGTTGTTCTGGTTCCAGCACAAGTAGTTGTCTTCCCAACTGTCAGGTGCACTTTCTCTTAACCAGACACATTGGTCATCATTATATCCCCTTCTTGCGGAATTCGACATGAACCACTTAAAATCTTCTGGCCACGCCGGGAGAGGGGACCCTATAGATAACAATTATAATTTTGACTGATCACAACTTGTAAGTCAGAAGATTACATTGTACATTATGTCACTCATCAAACAAGATACCGGCTCATGATAATTTATTGGATCATTTCATATAATTTCTAAAAGTCCGTATCATAAAGTTGACATTATGAAAGTTTATGAATGTTTATATAACACAACATTATTTAACATACCTGTTGCTGTTGAAAGAGGAGTCCACCACAAAAAGCAGAGTCCTCCGAATAGTATTTCAAGTAATGTCATGATACGATTACATTAGCTGTAGTAGTGATTATATAGATTAAATATTTTAGAAATCGAGAGGCAGGATTGCCCAAATAGGGTTGAAATAAGTACTTAATTATTGATTTTCACTGAGATACTGAGATCAGGTATTCAATGTTGATGAAAAGTTAAGAGAGATAAAAGGCAACTTCGTAATCTAGCTATGCACAGTTGTAGTTGGGGCATAGTTGGGGCACAAAACTGAAATTCCTGGGACACAATTTGGACACAATTGGGGCAAAAAGTGACCTGGAGACCTGGGCACCATTTAGGGAAGAATCGTAAAATAAAGTAACTGGTAACACACGTCGTGAAGTTCCCTCGAAGCAAACCACAACCAAAGAACAAAATAACTCAGCGACCAACGAAACCTTTAAACTACCTCCACTGCCTCCTGCGAACAAAGGTCTACAAACAACAACAACAAACAAACAACACTCACAATTAGACTTCACAGCTCTCAATATCATAAATAATTGATAGTGGCGTTGCTGTAAAGACCAACTTTCACCATTAAAGCAGATGTCAAAGCAGATGATTCGACCTCCTTCTTTCTTTTCCGGCTAGAAATGTCTTATTCTTTACAAAATGCGCTTTGTTATAATGCTAATATCATGCTGAACAAGGACCCTGGTCGGTGCCTGGTCGGGTGTTTGTGAGTGGTGCCTGGATTACAATCCTCGCTTTGGGGACATTGTACGACGTACGTAATAAACATTAAACTAACTCTCTTCTGATGTTCTATTGTTGAAGCCGGTCATAGAAGGCATCATGTACTGTAGCCGGTGGGCCCGACATGATACGACATATCTCGACACGTCGGGGTTTGTCGGGGTTTTTGGTTTGGAGGCCTTCAAGCTTTACGTGGAAAAACACTATACAATAAGGCCTCATGTAGCCGGTGGGCCCGAGGCAAAACCCCTCGACAAACCCCGACAAACGGGATATGTCGGGGTTTGTCGGGGTTTGTCGAGCCTGGAGGCTACATGATGCCTCATAGAAGAGCTTTTTGTGAGAAGCCCGCCAGAAGGTTAATCATGGAAACAGAAAAACGATTTCAGGACATTGATAAAAGATAAATAGACAACGATAAATAGAGAAAGGAAGCAGACAATATAGATATTGGCTGGCACTGGCGGGGGTCTGGAAACATATAATTGATACGACAGGTTATTTGTTTCTGAAGCTTTCACATAACTTGTTTTAAACGTCTTAACTCTTTAGTTAGGTGGAACTTCAAGGCTAACGCACATTGTCTAAGCAGTCTGCTCGTCAAATTTCGTAACAAATTCTTTAAGAAAAGAGCAGAACTGGACAGCCAATGATGAGCACTAAATTTCATTTCGACGGGGGTTTTCTTAAATGAACGCATCTTTTCGTCTGCAACTCGTCTAGTTTATAGAATACAGAACTTACGACATGACGTCCAACATCAAATCTCTAACTCTCTTCTGATGCTCTATTGTTAAAGCCGGTCATAGAAGAGCTTTTTGTGAGAAGCCCGCCAGAAGGTTAATCATTATTACATGGAGCAGGCTGCTCGTCAAATTTCGTAACAAATTCTTTAAGAAAAGAGCAGAACTGGACAGCCAATGATAAGCACTAAATTTCATTTCGACGGGGTTTTCTTATATGAACGCATCTTTTCGTCTGCAACTCGTCTAGTTTATAGAATACAGAACTTACGACATGACGTCCAACATCAAATCTCTAACTCTCTTCTGATGCTCTATTGTTAAAGCCGGTCATAGAAGAGCTTTTTGTGAGAAGCCCGCCAGAAGGTTAATCATTATTACATGGAGCAGGCTGCTCGTCAAATTTCGTAACAAATTCTTTAAGAAAAGAGCAGAACTGGACAGCCAATGATAAGCACTAAATTTCATTTCGACGGGGTTTTCTTATATGAACGCATCTTTTTGACTGCAACTTAGAATATAGGTAGTTACTATATGTCCAAGTTTATAGAATACAGAACTTACGACATGACGTCCAACATCAAATCACGCCCTACAAACTCTTATCATTTGTTCAACTACTAATGATATATGATAGTACATACCTATAGTAATATTTTAACAATTTTAGTAATATTTTAACAATCGCAAAAACAACGCCGCATACTATAGATCTGCGTATTGGTGGGGAGGTGAGATTAATTTTTTCTGACATGTGACAGCGATTAACCAATCGGCTTCAAGCATTTACCAATTAAATCCCAGAACCCTGAACCACTGTCATATGTGTCAAAAAATATGTTTCAACTAAAAATGTTAATCTGAACTCTTTCTTATTTTTTGTACAATTACTGGGACGGCGCTGGATTCTTCCGAAACACTATCTTTTGTTCTGAAGTTAGGTTGCGGTGAAAAACTTAAATTTCGTTTCAAGATGATGATAAGGTTTCGACCAAGATAATTTAATCAGTACACATATGATTCAGAATTATTTAACCAGAATCTCCGAAAGACAGAAGATCGGGGCAGTCAGTTTCTCGAATTAGTAATTTAAGTTGCTGATTGCTGAAAGTACTTTTTCAGCTCAACTAAGTCAAGTACGGATGCAGGACATATCAAAAATTGATTTTGCAGCAATAGTCATTAGTCACTAGTCAGTTGTCACCAATGATAAGTACTTGACATATTCTTCAATCAAACAACTTGAACAGTAGATATTCGAAGGTCAACACAAAGTAAAGCCCCAAGCTAGAAAAACAACACAATAAAATAAAAGATTAAAGCCCTAAAACCCGTTGCTAGGGGTAGGCTACAGTTGGATAATCGTCTATTATCCCAGAAAGCTGATCAGACTGAGAATTCGCTAAGACAATTAATGAACAGTTTTAGTTTTAAATAGTTTTAGAACTCATTATAAAGAGAGTTTAATGTCAGCAGGACCCTGAATCAATGCTCACTCACACAAATGGTTACTACGATTCTCAGACACGAAACAAGTGAGAACAAGTGAGAACAAGTGAGACACGAAACAAGTGAGATAAACACAACGTGAGAGAGAACACAATGGAGGTGATCTGTATAGTTCGTGGCCAGGGACAGGTCATGGGGGGGGGGGGGGGGGGGGGGGGACCGGGGATAATGACAGATTACCCGTTGTGACGGAGATAATACGCTAAGGACTTGCCAAGACCGATTGTTTTGTGCTCTCTAACCAGAGCTGAGGGGTGGCAATGCACAACAGGAAATAGGTTGAGATGGACAGCTAAAAATAGATACATCAGTACCTACCTACTACAGTACCTACCTACGAGAGCACAAGGAAAGATGTTTTAGGTATACTATAATTCACCTCTAGTGTTACGAGCTAAAAAGCAATACTTGGAACACAAGGAAACATTCTAAAAATTTAAATGCATGAATGGTACTAATCGAGAAACGAGTTCATGGTGTACTGTTTCAGAAGTTCAGAATGCTACCACTATGGCACGAGTTGATCATGAAAGTGATTCAGTACTAGCAGATAATTTGACAATGGATTATGACATTTCATCTGTAAATTAATCGATATCTCTTGTCTCCCTGTACACCATCATCAGCTGCTGTACATTGTGTTTTAGTTCGTGGACGCCACAATTCTTAATAATATATAAGAACTAGTAAAGTTCACGAATAAAACAAGTTCTCAGACAACGCAATATAAGATGGAAGGTTTTTTTGTATATGGTAGCTTTGCGACCGTGCATGCCTGCGTGAAAGGAACCCGTGAAATATAGCCCTAAACGGTGTCAAGACTCAAGATACTGAAATAATTATTACCTATTTAATTGGCGTTTTTGACACCACTTGGGGGTCCAAATTTTCGGCTCTAAAATCATTATTCCTCGGCCAATTTTTTATTTTTTCATGCTGATTTGGAGGATATTAAAGCATTTGACCCAGCCAAAAAAGTTTCAGTTGTATATCTTTTACGGTTTTTGCAGAAAGTTGCGTTAAAGTCGATGCCGTGGTGTCAGTAAAATGGCACAGATATATATATATTTTGTAGCTGTACTCCTACACATTAAAAGTCGGTGTTGATTAGATCTTCGAAATAAGTCTTTGCATCATTTTATTAAACATCGTTATCTGAGATAAAATTGTTCTAAAAGCAACTGGAATATTCACAAATCTTTAAAATAACTTACAAACTAGGAAAGGAAAACAAGTCTTAGGAAGACGTACAAAACTATGTGACTTAAAACGGTACAAAACTAAAATATACTGAGTAATAATCAAACGAAAAGAATGGCTGCGTACATTTTATCTAATCTATTAATATATATATATATCGTCTCCAGTGGCGTAATGAAAGGCCCTGCTGACCCCGCTGTGCAGGGGGGCGCCGTCTTAGGGGGGCGCCAAATCGTCGTTTGAATGTGGGACAATTTCGAAAACTTAACTAAAGTACTAGCAAAACTGCCCGTTTTGCTCTAGATACACACTTTTTTAGAGATTTTACCGGCTTATTCTCTAAAATCACCTAATTTGTTCAATTTTAGGGAGGGGCACCAAAAGGGGAGGGGGCGCCAACAGGGGGCGCTTTTTTCGGCAGGGGGGCGCCAACAGGCAACGTTACGCCACTGATCGTCTCGCTTTATATATAGTAAGATTTAAATATTATATTGATACAGTTGGAATATCGGTAGGCGGACTATGTAGCTAACGGAATATGTAGTTAAAAGAGTATTTTCAGTTTAATTTGGTTTTAACTTTAAAGATCCATGATTTGTGCCCCGAGTATCAAGTTGAACTAAATTCAGTAATGACACTAAAAGCGAGCTCAAGTTTGTTCGGTTTGAACTTTTGAAGCATCAGCTCTTCCTCCAAATGGAGGCTATGTTCAACGTGACAGCTAGCATTTAGTAGAGTCTTATGGGACAAGGTTTGAGAAATCCCCATCTCACGATCTCGGTAATTTCCCATACAAAATAAAAAATGTAGTAGTTGTACAGCAATACTAATGGGACTTCTGCTGTACAAACACTACACAAGTAATCCCGATAACACTCGACCTCTGCCTGATCCAGAGGATGTCACCATTTTACCTTCACACAGACATCGAACGCTGTAAGAAGATGACGATCAGACCTCGTTACAAAATAAAAAAGCAAGGAGTTAAAACTGTTAAAGCTGCTTGCTCACAAGCACAATTTAAGAGCTGGATGGTTTTGGTTTCGGACAGAGGGCGAGGCACAAATCTAACACAACATAATAATATGACGTACACAAAGGGGCTCCCTGTCAGTAAGCATCTTCCTAACACTAAGTATCCGCTGTTCTGAGAATTGAGTTTTAACTCTGGGCGGGATACAAATCTAAATATGCTAAACTAATGGTACACTGTGCGAGTCACTGGTTGTTTTGCTGTCCGGGCAGCAGTCACTGGTTCATATTATGTTGTGAGTGCAGAGGAATGAGCAGAGCGAGAAACAAGTTGGAAGAAAAATCAAAACGTTCATTTCAAGAATTCTCTGCTCCTCAATGCGTAGCGCAAATGTAGTGATCGTTCTAGAAATAAAACCAAAGCCCCAGCTCTCACCAGGTCGTGGCGTCGATTTAACCGAGGATAATGTCCTGAGTTTTTTTAATGGCTTAATGTCCTTTGTTTTAACCCTTGGAATACGGGGAGTTAACAACGGGTTTGCTTGCCACAATAGAGCAGGAACCCTCTGCTTGCAAGGCTCGTGAATAAAGCATTGTTTTGTCATTGGTCTGGGTACCTGCTTTGACTCCTTTCTAAGTCTCCTCCTAAAAATATCACATAAACGGGTATTTAACATTCGCTGACAGATTACAAAGTCTAAGCCCTACAAAATATGTAAAATTCTAACAAGAATTGTTATTTAGCTAAAAAACTTTATAGCTAAGTTTAGCTATATAAAACTATAAAGTCCTTGAGCTAAATAGTCCTGGAATCCTTATGATTTCAACAATGACTCACGAGAAAGCTGTACTCTGCAGTTAAATTCCTGAACCACCCAAGTAAAAATGCAAAGAATTTTAAATTCTTTTCTAAACTCTAAACTCTTGACTCTTTTCTGAACTCTAAACTCTTTTCTGAACTTTTTATTTTAAACTCTACAAATTCCCGCAGGCGATAGTTAAGTTATCACAAGAAGGCAGCACGTACTACAGCTCTATCAGAGATACGTCCAGTGCCAGTGGTAGTTACCAGTACCAACCTCCGGTCCTTACTTCAGATGCTAAGGTTTGTCTGTTTGTTTATGTTTTTTTGTCTAGACCTGTTTATTTGTGTTCGCAACAACTCAATAAGATAAATTTGCTCACACTCACAGCTTATAAATTGTACAGGTCCTTTTTGTTGACACGCACTTTCTCGCTGCGACTTTAAAAACATTTACTGACGCCCCCGTCTTTTATATCAACGTGCAGTGTGCACATTATATTCACTATCCGGATCTAAGGTCAAGTTTTGTAAAATACGTGTTCTTGAACGGTGGGCAAACCACCGTCCACCACCCAATAATCTCAAGATATCATTGCTTCCTGTAAGAGCTTTCCATCTAATTTGCAATTCTCGGGAGTTAATAATCAAATTGCTGGATAAAGGAGTGGTTAATAATCGGGTGGGGATTATTTTTTTGAAGACATGGTTATGATTAATGTGCAGGCTGCAGCAGTGTTGCAATCTACTTTTCGGACAGCTTCCAGACCATTATAGAGATCTGAATTTGCAACTGTTTTAATGAAATTCAATACAATTTTCCACTTTTCCACACCCGCACGTGTACCCAAAGATCATAACATCATGACAGGTAGTCTCTAAAAGAAGGAAATTGATCCCCGCACTGTACCCTGGCCGATCTAAAGCTCTTTAAAACCCAGCTCTCTCTCTAACACTAAATATGGTATCTGTTCCTTCTGGAGAACATAATGTTTAATGTTCTAACAGTATGACTGAACATCAACTACCTGGCCCCATCTCTCTTGGAGCACTCACTTAGCTTCCTGTACAGGTCACTGCACTGGCTCGGTCACGTGATCGGTCACGTGACCTCACATCAACTGTTACTCAACCCAAGAATACGTGTTCTTTTCTATAACTTTAACGGCTAGAGCTGCAGATTAGATACCCTACACGGAGAGTTGTGATCCCCGATTCCGTGTATCTAGGTCATAGTTGCAAGTCGGGACATAAGGCGTGATGTTATATAGTAGATTTGTAAGTTGGGACGTTTATAATCGAAATGTTAGGTTAGACGCCAGACGTCCTACTATTTTACCTGAGATATTATTTTAGGACCAATTCAATACGCGGCCTTGTCTCCAATTAGCGATTCAACCGGTTACTTCGCGACAATACATAATTATATGACATTAATCTCAAATTAGATTAAAGATTTTATTTGGTTTCTGAAGAAGTTTCTTCGGATTAAATTGTAGGGCTGTAATAACCGCCATATTTTATTGAGTAGGATTGACTGCCACTTAGAATTAGAGCCAACTGGACGGCTGACCGGGTTAACTGACATATAACCCAAATCGGAGTAGGTAAGCTGGTATTCTGGTGAAAAAGAAGGACTCGAGATAGTATAAGTAAGATAGGTATGTCTAGATCTTCTGTTACACTTCGCTGTAGCAACGTAAAAACGTACCTAACGCGAAATGACCGGCATTTATAATTATCTTTGGGCCGTGTTGACAACACTAGAGAAGTTGATAGTCTGGTTTTTCAGGTCTGTGTTATTATCAGACTTTATCATCAGGCTTTATTATCAGGCTTTATTATCAGGCTTTATTATCAGGCTTTATTATCAGGCTTTATTATCAGGCTTTATTATCAGACTTTATTATCAGGCTTTATTATCAGGCTTTATTATCAGGCTTTATTATCAGGCTTTATGAGGCTTTCAATCTGAATGTCGGGTGCCAATATTTAGTGGCCACTTATTCTTACCGTGCGTAGCAGGAATCTCCAACTGAAAGGGATGGATTTTATTGCTCGCTGAATGGGTGAACACAGGGTGAATCTACATATTTATGAAGATCAGCCTGCGCTTATATCATGATACTACCCAGTATGTATCAGCAAGACATATACTTTGTTAAAACAAGACCCACTCTCCAGCTCCCCCGCTTACTCATACTAGATTCAATAGTTTACTGTTACTCCAATCGCTGATCTGGCTCTAAGTTGAGTGTAAGTCCTACCCAGAAACCAGCTTATGCTCTGACATTGAAAAACATTATGAGGGCAACAACTCGCCGACTCAACACACCTTGCACGGGATGTAAAGTAATAATTACAGTTTTCTCTCTCTCTCTCTCTCTCTCTCTCTCTCTCTCTCTCTCCGGCACTGGTCATTGTGTTGAATGTTGCTGCTTCAACGCTCAATCCGTCCCACTCTCCTACAACCCACTCTACAGTGCTGGTCATTGTCTTCTGTGTTCCTGTTTCAACACTAAAACTGTTTATATACTCCCCACTCTACACTCTCTAGTATTATACCCTAGAGTCTGGTCATGATGTCGACTGTTCTTACATTTTTTACACCCAATACTATTTCCCTACTACTGTCCTGGTCATTGTGTTCCTGCTCCAGCACCCTCCCCATCTCCTACCAGGTACACCATCTCTCTACAGTCCTGGTCATTGTGTTCCTTCTCCAGCACCCTCCCCATCTCCTACCAGTTACACCATCTCTCTACAGTCCTGGTCATTGTGTTCCTTCTCCAGCACCCTCCCCATCTCCTACCAGTTACACCATCTCTCTACTGTCCTGGTCATTGTGTTCCTTCTCCAGCACCCTCCCCATCTCCTACCAGTTACACCATCTCTCTACAGTCCTGGTCATTGTGTTCCTTCTCCAGCACCCTCCCCATCTCCTACCAGTTACACCATCTCTCTACAGTCCTAGACCCTGGTAATTGTGCGGACCATCACCGCCTAGCCTCCCACTTTACTGTCCAAGTCATTGTGTTGAATGTTGAATGTTGAATGTTGAATGTTGAATGTTCCATCACTCCCTCTTGTATCCTACAAGTTACAGCATGTCTCTACAGTCCTAGACCCTGTTAAATGATAATTGTGCTGAATGTTCCTGCTCCACCTGACCGCTCGTTCTATATTCCTGCTCCAACACCCTCCCTACCTCTCCCCTACACCCAACACTCTCCCTCCCCCACACCGTCCATTATAAGCTGTACGGAGCAGCTCGTACCTCGTAACAATACTCTCCAATGTAGGACAAGGTATCGTTCCTATGGTGCTCTGCTCTCTTTTCCTCTCCACTCTGGCCACTCCAATTATATCGAAAAATATTTAGACAATACTATAACATGACAATGGTAATAGCACCCTGTTTTATATGTTTTACGAGCGGGTCTGTGACAGGACATCATATTCCCCCAGTGTCCG